CGACTGTGTAAATATGTATTTGTATATGTATGAATGACTGTAGCTTTGTTTCTTGTTGGGGGAGTTGGTAAAAGTTTATGCACTTCAACGGCTTGCTGAACGCCTGTTCGAAAATCGACTCACTGAAGGCCCCTGAAATCGTACGGCATACGCGATGTGTGGCATCCGGTTGTCCGAACGAGCGACTTCGTCAACAGCGTCAGCATTAGACGGGCATCATCGACTTGACTTGAACTTGAACGTTAGCCCGCCTAGCGTTAAATGCATTTTATATACATGTATGTATGTGAGCATGTATGTGATGGTGTATGTATGTTGCGCAATGACAACTCATTAAATGTTTTGCTCTTAATTACTCTCACTAAAGCACCACGCAGCAGAACAAATAGAGCAACCCCATTTCCTCCTCCAGCCCATCCCCTCGCAGTGCGCTGCCCGCAGGCTTAGCAGCCAAGCCAATTAGTGAAAAATATTGGCCACCCTGTTCATTAGCTGCACACATTTCGACCTACGCTTTTCGCAGCGCATCTTCTTCTAACCTATTACGCCGGCATCTTCTTAATTAAAAAGCTGACAATGTTTGCCCCCAGACGCGGTGGCGCATTTTTAATTGCTTAATTGGAATTGCGTAGACGCCGGGCTCGGCTCGTCCGTTGGCCCGGCTCGGCCCGGCACGACACGGCTAGGCCGAGCCCGGCAAATGCATGTATCCTTGCGCGCCCAGCCATTGGTGGGCATTGGCCCAGGCGACGCCCTCAACAGTTGCTCGCATGCCGTTCCTTTCGCACAGCCAATTAAGCGACCCGCCTCTCAATTCAGCAGCACGGCCCAGCGCTTGCTATCTATCAGCCGGCATACCGGGCCTGGTGTCAAGGTCATCCGCGGAACAAACACCACGCCTAGATACGCCTCAAACTCAGCGGGCACAGCAGGCGCCCAGCAAACAGCAGGCAGCAGTTACCAAGCATCAGGATTCTATATGTGTATTCCGGATGCTGAGCTGGAAGCTGTGAGCACGTCGCCATGTCCTTGACTCGCAATTGAACGCAAGTTTACGGTAGCTTAAAAGCACATCCAGCAGAAGAAAGAGACAGACTGAGAAAGCTTTTCAGTTGCTGCGAAAGCAATGAGCATTTGAACCATCTGCTAAATGTGCTGAATTATGTATGTATGTGTGAATGAAGAAATGAATAAGTGAGTGTATGTATGAATGTGTGAATAGATGAATGAAAGAATACATCCATTTATGAAAATATGAATGAATGAAGGAATGAAAAATACATCAATCTAAAAAAATATGATGATGATGATGATGAATGAATGAATGAATGAAAATATGAATGAACGTATGAATAAATGAATGAATAAATAAATATATGAATGTATGTATGAATATATGTGAATATATGAATAAATGAACACATCAAGCTACGAATACATCAATGACTAAATATATGAATGTGCGAATGACTAAATGAATGTATGAATGTGTTATATGAATATGTGAATGAATACATCAATTTATGAATATATTGAATGAATAAATGAATGGATTTGAATATGAAAAAATATATTTATTAAAATTTGAATGAGTGTGTAAATGAATGAATGAATAAATGAATGTGTGAGTATATGAATTTATGAATACATAAATTCATGAAAATATGAATCATTGAATGTATGAACGTGTGAATGAATGTATGGATGTATTAATGAATAAATGAATGTATGAATATATGAATATATTGATGTATATATGTAGGAATGAATGTATGAGTAAATGATTATTTTAATGTATGTATGAATATGTGAATATATGAATTTTGATTATGTGAATGTGAGATGGAATAAATGAATATATGAATGATAATGTATGAATGAACGAATGATTGAATGAATGCATGAATGAGTGTATGAATGAATATATGAATATGTAATTGAATGAATGAGGAAGGTACTGTTGTAGAGGCCATATGAGGATTGAGAGTCACGCTCTAGTAACAGCAGCAGATGAACTAAATAAAGCAAAGTTTTGACCAACGTAAGGCTGATCAAGCTAGAGTTAAGCCTACGAATCAATGAGTAAGAAGTAGACTAAGCTATGGGCGTGAATAGGGAATTGAAATAAATATTATAATAATATAGTTTCTGCATTTCAAGAGGTACAAATATTTTATACCCTAGTCAAAATAGATGAATCTATAAAGTCGAATCTAATCTTCTTTCTACTTATTTTTGTGTTATTTCTAAATTTTATTTTATTGCTTTCACATCTCTATAGCAATGTCAAATATACCTCTAGTTGGATTAAATTTTGAATCAGACTGAAGTATATTATATAGAGTACTTACTAGTCGAGCATGGTCTGGCTAAGACAGTTTTGACTTGTTACTTTTAGCTTACCTTGAAGACATAGTATATTATAGATTAAAAATAAACCCATGGAGAACTTGCCCACCGCTTGAATCGAAGTTTCGTCACTTGACTTCTGCTTGTCAAATATTTAACAACATGTTAAAGTAAAATTCGAATTAAAAGTCACAATTTTGGTTTTTCTTTTTTGTTTCTTGCCATAACTTTTATTTGCCGCATCCGTAAAATGCATAAAATGTGTGTCTATGTGAGAGGAGTACGATTGATGATATATCTTGTGTTCGTGGAGCCGATCCGTCAGCTCGCTCCGATGCACGCGTACTCGAACTAGGCATCTAGTAATTGTATATAATGTATATAGATATATATATGTATATAATGTTTCAAATATTTTTCGGTTAATATATATATATATGTATATCCTTTTCGTTCATATATATATAATATGTATATGTATATATAAATTTAGTTAACATTAATTTTTATTGAATATTTTTTTTTTCTTTTTTCTTTTTTTTTGTATAATTCATGTCCATTTGCTGCGCTGTGCCATGGAAAATCGCAAATCGCACAGGGAAATTTCGAAATCGAATCAGTCATTGATTGATAAAAGGAAAACCAAAAGTGAAACAAAAAATTTTGAAAAGTCTTCCACGACACAGCGCTTAAATATTACAATAGCTTTAATAATTTCAGACAAATACTCGAGCGTCTTCCATTTATCATTATAAATTGTTTATTCAATTTTCATTTGTTGTTTGTTTGTGTGTAAAAGTTCAGCTGCCAAGTGGAAATTAGTTTTGCAATTGATGTGGAAAATGTGGAAAATGAACGCGGAGCTGGGATTAGCTTTAGATGTGCGAAATCTGGGATCAATGGCAACCGTTTGGCACATGTTGTCTCGTTCGAATAGGAAACCAAAACCAGAAGAGCTCGATAAAAAAGAGAAGACTGATATGTACTTCATGATTGATCAGATTTCAAAGCAGTTAGCAGCAGGATGGCAGGGCAAAGCAGGAAATAAAATGCAATCTGTATTCAAATCTATATATATATATATATGTATATATATATATATAAATGTAATTGTGTGTTCGATCTATGTTCAACTGTGGCAAATGCAACAATGCACAAAAAACTGTTAAGCTACTTTATATATATATGTATATAAATTGGTACTTAGTTCTCATTAATTACTTTATAACAACATTTCTAGTTCATATTTTATCGAATTTCTTTTGTGGTTAAAATTTGCGGCTAAAATTGAATTTGATTTCTTTTGTTTCAAATTTGTTAATATTTTTGCGTTTGCTTTTGCTTTTGTTCATAATTATAATTAATTTGTTAACAAACAATCGGCTACAATTCAACACTGGCTAATTATGTTTAATTATAGTTTGATTGACTAATTAATTAATTTCGTTTTTGTGTTTTTTTTCTTCTGTTTTGCTTTTTGCAATGTTTTATGTATTAGTTTTAATTGTATTTGTATTTTAATATAAGGCCGCTTGGGGCAACTGCTATAAAGGCTCAATTTGCTATAAAAAAAACTTGGGTTGGCTAACGGGTTACAGCTACGGCAGGTGAGACACGGGAGTGAAAGAGATAGAGCTATGCATAGATTAGACTTGAGATATTCAGCTAAGTCCGAAGTAAATTTAATTTGTAGATTTGTTAACTGGAATATTAGAGCTTGCAACAGATATTGATATATATATGTATAAATAAATAAATAAATATATATATATATATATATATATATATATATATATATATATATATATATATATATATATATATATATATTGTATTAGTTATAGTTAGTGCTAAGGTTCTGTTTAAGGTTTGTTTTGGCTAATCTCGATTTGAACTGTTTAAAAACTCTGCTACAAATTACAAGGTATACTCATTCATACATATATATATAGATATATGGTTTCTAATTGGTTAAATTCATTCAAAACTCACTCACTGGCCTGATAAACTTGCGCATACATTTTGTTCTTTGGAACATTGCATATGTATAGGGTATGTATATGTATGTCTAAATGGTTAGATAAGATTAATATATAATGTAAAATTTAAAATGTAAAATGTAAAATGTATATATATATATATATACGTGTGTGTGTGTGTATTTGTGTGTACGGTTCGGCTTCGCAAGGAGTCCGTTTCCCATTGTGCCTGCTAGTCAAGCCTAGAATAGTTCCTTGTATTTGGTCATAGATTAGATTAGATTATATTAGTATACACACATAATGGGATAGGCGGCGGGGGGTAGTACAAAATCATACTAACTAAGTAAGTAGTCGAAAGCATAATCCAAATGGTGGCATATTAGGGTCAGTAATATATATATGTATATATAAACGTCTACATAGGTGAGCAAATTACATATTAAGCAATCACGTAAACAAGAAATAACAACTTATGATTATGAGAGCACAGCAATCGAATAGATAAGTTATGTACATCATAAAAGAAAACGGTAAATACTTAGCGAGCATATAAAACATAATAGCAAGGGACAGACAGGGACTAAAAATAAATAAATAAAAAAAGAACGAAAAAAATAATACATAAACAAAATCAAAGCACAATCAGAATAATTGTTATTGTTATTGTTGTTGTTGTAGGTTTGTTTTTTTTTTTTTTGGAATGCAGTTGGCTCTTAGGCTAAAAGGCATTTACTTCGGCTCGCCGCCTCCGCTGCCGCTGCCACTGCCGGGCGTGGCGGAGAGCGCCATTTTCGAGAGCGTGGCCAAGGAACGTTTCGGGAAAGTGTTGCTGCCATCCGATGGATCCGAGAACAGTTTACGGAAGCTGCAAGCCAAAACCAAAACTAAGTCAAGATGCAAGCAGTCAAAACTTATTTGAAGCACTCACAACTTGCGTATGCCCGACTCGGAGCTCTTCTTCCAGGGCGCGTCGTCTGGCTCATAGGGCAGCGGTCCCTGTACGGGCGCGTCGTGTCCAGGTGGCCTGGCAATAGACAGAACATTTAATATAAGCAAATAGAGTTAGCGTTTAGCTAGACGCACGTCTCGCCGGCCACATTGTCGTCCTCGACATCGGCCTCGACGCCGTCATCGGCCTCGTTGTCGTCATCGTCGTCGCTGTCATCGGAGCTGGATATTTGACGTGTTCGCTTGCCGCTGCTCGCAGGCTTCAGCTCGGCCAGCTGCTCGTTGAGGTTGTCAATGGTCGTGAGTAGCTCGTCGCGCTCGCTGATTAGATCCTTTAGCTCTCGCGTCGTATAGCGCGGCCGGTTTGGATCGTTTTGATCGTCATCGTACGACTGCACCAGATCCTCGTTCTCCTTCTCGGCCAGGCCCAAACGCTTGCGCAGCTGATTGATCTCGCGGCACTGATCCTGCAGTTGGGCGAGAAAATCGGCACGCTCCTCGCACAGCGTCTTCACCTGCGCCTGCATCAGCTTGTGCCGGCGTCGCGTATCCCGCTCCGATGCCTTCAGACGCTCCGCCTGAATGTTGACCTGCACATGGTGAAAAGTCTTGAGCTGTAGGCCAATCGGGCTAAGCTAACTACTCACATGCTCCAGCTCGCTGTACTTGTCCTGGAGTTCGCGTTCCCGCTGCTTCAGCTCGTCGCGCTGCTTGTATATCTGCTCCTTGAGCCGCTGCAGCACCTGCGTGTCGGAGAGCGCGCTGTGCAGCTCATTGTTGGTCATGCTGATGATGCTCTCGGTGAGGCTGGCGCCCAGCCCGGAGCTTTGGGCTGACGACGATTGCAGATCCTGCGTCTGCTTCACGAGCCGCTTGTTCTCGTCCTGCAGCGAGGAGACCAAGTCAACCAGCTCGTTCGTCTCGCTGCGCCACTGCTCCTCAATCAGCTCCAATTCCTTTTCGAAGCGCCGCCGAAACTCGGCCTTCTCCAGCTTCTCGCTCTCCAGCTGCGCTATCTTCTCGCGCAGCTCCTGTATGGTGGAGTTCTCGCGCTCGTTTTTCGTCGCCAACGCCTCCAGCAGCTCCAGGGTGTTAATTATCTTGGGCATCAGGCCACTTACCGCATCGGTGCCATACCGATCCATGATGCGTTCATACTCCTTGCCAATATCCGATGCCAGATCGTAGACATCGACCACGCCAATGTCATCGATGGCGTCCAAGACCATTTCGCCCATTTCATTGAGATGGAAGCCGGGCATCGGGCGTCGTTCAACTGTGGGAATTCAGCTACGCACAGCAGCTTGCGTTTTGCTATCTATCTATCAATGGAGCTGGGGCTTCACTTGGTCTCTAAATAAACACTCACGCACACGCACACTCACACACTCGCACAGTTGGCTTGGTGTATCGAATTCGCATTCACTTTATCGCTTGGCTCGGTCGCCCACAACAAATTGCACATATGTTACAACAAAATATGCGCATATGCAACGAGCTCGAACTTGGACCTGCAACTGGACCTGGTTTTTACAAGTCTTTCGATGACTGCATACTCGCTGGATGAGTAATAAATAAAAACTTGCAAATTCTGCCCCACTCCCTTCCGAACGGAGCGCTCGCAGCTGTCCGCGGAGAGCTATGCAAAACGAGCGTTGCCCGCTCTCGCTCTACACATGCGCGCAGCGTTGCTTCTGCTCTGGCATAGAGATGAGCGTTGCGGTCTATTGACTTGGCCAATTATTTCAATTTATCAATTTGATTTGATCTAAATTGAATATTACAAATGCGGGCATTTTCTTCAAATGAATTGCAACAAAACAATTTACGCAAATTTGCATGCCTAGCGATGCGCAGCAAAGTGTTCAATAGTTACTTGTCACGAGTATGCAATGGCAATTAGCTAACAGCTGTGATTTAATTAATAAATATAACATATAAATAACTTTTCGAATGCAGCAAATAACCGTATATAAATACTAATTTAATAAAATAATTATGTATATTTTATGTACGATATCTATTGCATAAGTATATTATCATTTTATCACTTTAAGTTCATAGTCTCGTGCTCATGTCTTGCTCATCCCTATATTTAGTTTCAGTTGCAGTAGGTCTGGCAGCGCTGTATTTCATGTTGCCACCCAACGATAGTTTTTAGCCGCCCAATTTGAAATTTGAAATTGCGCTCGAGCTTGGTTTAAAACTAATTTTTTTTTATTTAAGTAAGTTTAACGTTTAACTAGGCCACCAAATAAATTCACTGGTTTTTTTTTATTAATTTGTTTTCTTTACAAAAATTGTATAAATGTTTTTGTTTTGGTTTTTTCCTTTTCTTTGTAAATTGTGGTTACATTTAGGCAATATTTTACACATATTTTATGTTGTCTATATATATATATATATAGATATATATATATAGTACTATAATATGCAATTATTTGTATTATTAATATTTTGTTTGTGTATGCTAGACTAATGAATACAGTTATGCAGCGGCGACTAGCAAGTTGCTATCCAAAACTAACTAATTTAATTTTAGTTTTTTCTCTTTTTAGAGTTTTCGGTGCCTCAGCTTTGTTAAGTACATTAAAATTAGCTACAGTTCTTTGGATGGTTTTTGGGATTGGGGGCTTTGCATTTAAATATTACACAAAAAAAAAAAACAAAAAAAAATTACACACGTTGCGCTATATATGCATAACAATTATATTTTTTTTTTGTTTTTTTTTTCTTTTCTTTAAACAGTTCTTAGTTTTTTTTTGTTTTGTTTTTTTTTTTTTCTTTTTTTAAGGACTAGATTAGGAACCACATTTGTACAGTTTTCATAATTTGTTTGTTTCTTTGTTTTTGTTTTTTTTACATGACAAATAAAATTGTTATGTAATTTAAGGTAAAATTTACAGTGACAAATGAAAATTGATTTGTTTTTACTTTTTCTTTTCTTTTTTTTGGGCCTTTCGTTGCATTTCTTTTGGTTTGCAGCTACAAAAAAAAATACTTAAATATTAAATCTCAGCTAAATAAATTTGCTCTTTATATATATATATATATATATATATATATATATATATATATAAATGGGTTTATGTATGTTACATGAAAAAAAAAGATTGTTTAACAAAACACATAAATAATAAATAATAGTAGGCGGGGTCGGCTTGGTTTAAGCAATAAGTTAATGCTTAAAATTAAATTTTGGCAAGCATTTCGTTAAATGGCAAATAAAATTTGGTTTTTCTTTTTTTGTTGCAAATAACTAATTTAAGGTAAGGTTAAAGGGTAAAAAGACTAAAAAAAAATGGGACTTAACGGCCATGCACTCAGTCGTTCGCATGTTCTCGTTTTCGATTGTTTGGCACACAAAATTAGGCATAAATAAATAGTTGTACAATTAAGCATAGGTTAACGTAATAGTAATAATAATAGTCATAATAGTAATAATAATAATAATAATAATAATAATAATAGATTGTATATTAGTTGGTAATTTGGTTGTTAACATAAAATGGCAAATGAATTAAAGGGGGCGAGGGGCGAGGGGCGACGTTTGTGAACCGGGCCTCAACTGGAAAAGTTAAGAACCTGTCTCTAGACTAGCTAATAGCTCTCACGCAGATGGCAACTGTTGCTGCTGCTGCGCCAGTTGCAGCAGCAGCGCTGAGGCGGCTGCTGGTGGCAGCACTGCAATGTGACGTTTGATGCGCTTCGCTGGCGGCTGTGACGATAGCGACGTTGGTGGCGGCGGTGGCGGTGGCAGCGGTGTTGGCGGTGTCGGCAGTGGCGACGATGTGGGCGATACGCCGCCCACAATGCCCACGTCCTTGACCAAGGCATCCTGTGAGTCATACTCCTCCTCTTCGTGCAGCGTTAGGTCCGTTATGCTAAGCTTTTCCTGCTGCAATTCCACCTGCAGCTCCACCACATCATCGTCTCCATCCTCCTCATCGTCTATGTCCACAATGGATATGATGTCGCTGCTGTTGCTGTTGCTGTTGCTGCTGCGATTCTCGAGCGTTCCAGCCAGATCGGCAGATTCGTCGTCGAGATCGCTTTGCAGCAGCCCAATATCATTCAAATCGTCATCATCATCATCATCAGCAGCAGCATTGCCAATATCATCATCATCATCATCGTCGCCATCGCCGTCTCCATCATCATCATCGCCGCCGCCGCCATCCGCTTCGGACTAGCTGCTGCTCGACTGCGTTTGCAGCGCGCTCGCTGCGGCTGCGCTGCCGGCGCTGACGGCCACGCTGGCCCCAATGACACTGTTGCCCGGAAAGTGGCAGAGGCACGCCGGATTCGGATAGTGGCCGGACTGTGAGTCCAGCTTCTTGGTCAGCGTCTGCCAGTACTCGATCTGAGCATTCAGCAGCTCGATCTTCCGCTTGCGCTCCTCCACGGCCAGCGACATCATGTACTCATTGTGCTGACCCCGCGAGCCGCTGCTGCTGCTGTTATTCAGGTGGTTCAGGTTGTTGTTGTTGCTGCTGCTGTTGTTGTGATTGTGACTGCTGCCGTTGCTGCCGACACTGTTGTTCAGATTGTTGCTGTTGCTGCTGTTCGCTGCGGCACAATTGATCGCATTGATGCTGCTCACGCCGAGTCCATTGTAGCCATTGAAGCTGCCGGCAGCAACGCTGAGGCCGCCGCCCGGCTGCTGCGCATGCACCTTGTCGCGGCTCTGATGCCCGTTGAGCAGCAGCTGAACACCGCCGGCAACGTTCACGTTGTTGTTGTTGTTGTTGGCGGCGCAAACGGCAGCAGCGGCAGCGGCGGCGGCGGCAGCAACTGCTGGCGTCTCGGCCCCTCGCACCGCGCTGCTCGCCGTGTGGCCGCGCGCCAGACGCGGCAATTGCAACGTTTGCGTTGTATGCCGCGTGCTGCTGCTGCCGGTGCCGCTGCCCACGCCGCTGGTGCTCGCATTGATGGCCGCCTGCAGCGATTGCGCCGGCGGATGCTGTACGGCGGACAGGCCCAGGCCATTGAGCAGCAAATGCTGCTGGATCTGTTCCGCTGTTAGCTCCAAGCCATTGCTGCTGCTGTTGTTGTTGTTACTGTTGTTATCATTGTTGTTGTTGTTGCAGCTAATGCTGTTGTTGTTGTTGTTGCTGCTGCCGTTGCTGTTGTTGGAGACATTCTGCAGCGCCTTGCTTATGCTGGCAAAGGCGCCGACGCGTATGTTGCCCACAGTTGAGAGCGTGATCTCGGCCTTGGGCAACCCGGCGGACATGTAGCTGCCGGTGGATGAGACGGAGGTCTTGGTGGAGCACACTGGTGAGCTAGAGGCACGTGGCACTGGATCGTTGCTGTTGTTGTTGTTATTGTTGTTGTTGTTGTTGTTGTTGTTGCTGCTGCTGCCATTGGCCAAATGCGTGCCGTTCATGCGGGGAAAGCAGCCGTGATTTAGCTGACGCAGATCCGCCGCGAACAGCTCATCGTCATCCTCCTCGAGACACACTTCCGGCACCTTGGTGCTGGGGCAGTCGTCATCGTCATCATCGTCCATGCAGTCCATGCCATTCTCTGTCTGTTCATTGTCGCTAATTGTCTCCGATTTGATCAGAATGACATCCGTGTCCATGCCCTCGTACATGGGCAGCTGCTGCCGGGCAAGAGAGAAAAAATACCAAGTTGCAGTGTTGTAAAACGCTAATTGAATAAATACGTAACTCTAAGACTATTAACTAAAGCCATTCCCGGTTTGAGTTTGGCAACTAAAAAGCTCCTTGGGAAAGCTTTTTGCAGTGTTGGAAAACGAATAAAATGAGCTGCATTCAGGTGTGTCGAGTCCAGAGATTAAGCGCGGATTAGTAGACCGAACTAAAGCCAATTGGTTGGGAATGAACTTCGTAGTGTTGGTAAACGCGAGTAAGTGTTGGACAACGCGAACTTAACTAAACTTTACATATCTGTATACCTTAGAATCTTCAAAGTCATCGGCCAAGTGACGTCCATTGCCGGTCGCTTGGCTGCCAGCACCGTCGGTCTGCTCGGATATGTATTGGGCGACCGAGTCCTGTTGGGAGAGCGTGTTGAGCAGGTCCATGAACGAGCGATTGCCCTTGTCCTCGCCGCACAGATCCTTCTTGAGCAGCAGCTTCATGTTCTTGTAGAGCTGTCGCAGCTGCTTGGCGCTGCGCTGGTGATAGACCTTCGAGTTGAACTCCTTGGCTATCTGCAGCCAGACCTCGTCCTTCTTCCGATTGGACTCGGCGTCTGTGCGCTTGTTCTCAATAACATCCTTGTACTGGGCCGCATAGCCGAGCACCATGTTACGCTCCCGCTGCGTATACCGGGGAGTCTTTTCCATTTTCAACCGTTTGCAAGACGTCTTGAAGCTGATCGCAAAGAGGCAAGTATTTTAGAGTTAAGTACAGTTATAAAGGACAGATCGAGGCGTCTTAAAAGCAACCTAAGCTACAACTAATTAGAAGTAATTTAATGAGAAGTCATGAAAATCGCAGAGAAAGGTTTTAATGGGAAGAGAGGGAGAGGGAGAGGGAGAGGGAGAGGGAGAGGGATAGAGATAGAGATAGAGATAGAGATAGAGATAGAGATAGAGATAGAGATAGAGATAGAGATAGAGATAGAGATAGAGATAGAGATAGAGATAGAGATAGAGAGAGAGAGAGAGAGAGAGAGAGAGAGAGAGAGCGCGCAAGAGGGGTGATAAGCATTCTACTCACTCTCACTCTCACTCTCACTCTCACTCTCACTCTCACTCTCACTCTCACTCTCACTCTCACTCTCACTCTCACTCTCACTCTCACTCTCACTCTCACTCTCACTCTCACTCTCACTCTCACTCTCACTCTCACTCTCACTCTCACTCTCACTCTCACTCTCACTCTCACTCTCACTCTCACTCTCACTCTCACTCTCTCTCACTCTCCCTCTCCTCGAGCTTATCTAGTCACAACGTTTACCGCTTAGACTATCTTAGCTAAGAATTCAATAAATTGCTTAGATAATTTGTGGGATAAGTTTTCTATTTTGGGAAATAAGAAATTTCAACTTGGGCTAATGCTGGGAGCAGAGCTCGGCCCTCTGCACGTCACGCTATCCAATCAATTCACCTAACTATTAGATGCGCCATTCTTTAATTAATAAATGAAAATAAACATGAGGGGAAAAACAATTGAAGAGAATAAAATGAAAACGAACGCTTAACTCTTTCGCACACATCCATCTGAGCATATGTACAATACGATTATTGATAACACGATATGGTAGGGGCGTGTGTGTGTGTGTGTGTAGATGGCCTGGCCCAGACTGTGTCTGTGTCTGTGTGTGATAAGCTGGCGACGCAGCTAGCGACTAGGCCAGGCAGCAGCTAGACCCGGCATAAACCAAAAACCGTTCACTAAGAATTTCCACGAAATCCTTCATGACTGTGTTTTCTTCTTCTTATTTTTTGGTCAGTTCAGGCACTGAGTAAGTTGTGCTTATGATTGATTTTATTTCATTTCATTTCATTTCATTTTTATTCTTTCCTTTCTAGCATTGATAAGCGCAAAAGCTTTTGTTTTTTATCGATTTGTAATGTTTTACAATAAGTGCAGGGGTTAAAACCACGAAGACTTTAAGCTTAACTTAAAGCTTTAAGCTGCACAAGCTGAGCTTTTAAAGCTTGTATCTATAATTATATATATATATGTATCTATGTGTCTATATAGAATACAGAATGCAGGCCCAGACTAAAACAATAATGTAAGGCAACTTTATATCTAATCTCAAATTGGAGATTAGGGCGCCAACTCACTCACACACACACACACACATACACACGCACATATATAATCATCGAGTAAGAGGGAGCGCGTGAGAGCGCGCGTATTCAATAATACTCACGTTTTAAGGCCGCGCCAAAGCCGGCAAAAACACACGCACACACACAGAGAGACACCCACACTCGCACACACACACACACAGACACACACAGTCAACGAAAGAACCGAACGAGGAATAGGCGCAACGAGCACAACAAAATAAAAACGCCAGCAACCGACTTTCGTTGGGTGGTTGGCTCGACTGGGATGGTTTGAATATTTCTTTTTTTTTTTTTGGGTGCAACAACGGGACGATGACGACGACGATGGCGACGACGACAACGACAACGCGACAACTTCGCGAGCAGCACCAACGAAGCACAAAGCTTGACTGAATTCGAGCAAATAATAGCTGGCGCTCAGAAGTACCGTTGGGCAACAACAACAGCAAGAACTAAAGCAGCAGCAACAACAAGGGCGACGTCAACTGACGGGCAAACAAAAATAGGAATACCGCGCAACAACAATTCAACAACTGCGTCGCAGCGCCCCCTGACGGCCCCGCATAAAACGTACATATGAACACACACACACATCTACACAGCTGCGGCTGAGGCTGAATGAGTCCGTCTGTTTGCCCTCGCAGCTTTGTGCGCCTGTGTGTGTGTGTGTGTATGAGACGTAATTAAAGCTTGAAACCGAGTTTACAACAACAACCCCGCAACGACAACGACGGCGACGACGACGACGACGCGCGCATGAGTGAGTGGGAGAGCACACAACTGTAGGCTGCGTGTGAGTGAGAAAGGAAGACAGAAGGAGAGAGCAAGAAGAGAGCGCAGCGTAATATAACTGTTAAAGAGGCCGCGCTTGCCAGCACAGGAGACTCAGACTGAGACACTCAAACACACACACAGAAGCGTGCTTGCTGAGAGCGAGTCAAAGCCGCGTGTGGGGCAAACAATGAGCTCAGTTTATAAATAAATGCAATGCATATATACACATTTATATATGTGTGTATGTATATGTTTTTTATGTATGTGTATATATATTTACACTCACACGTGTAGAATTCTAAGTGAATGCAACTCCAACGTCAAGTTGGTGTTATAACATCCGCCCACGCGCGCCCCTCGGCTATACGCCTAGAACATAAGTGAAATGTTTTAAGCGCAGCAGCAACAAAGTAAGGGTTGACAGCGACAGCGACGCCAGCAGAGACGTTACGGCAGACCGAAAACCGAACGAAGCTCAAAACGAAGAGCAACTGAAGACTGACGTGGGTCGCTCTCGCTGCAGCTAAAATAGCCCGAATAATAACAGAAGCGCGGATGTAAACAGAGATGAAACAAATGGACATGGAATGAAATACAAAATACCCTGCACTAATAATACTGCAATGCATGCACATACATACATACATACATATATATATATATATATATATATATACATATATATATATATATATATATACATATATATATATATATATATATATATATATATATATATAGCTATGCTTTACATGTTTATCTTACAGTTGAAAGCAATTGCCATAACCCTCATATGTATCTAAGCTGTATGTACATATATGATGCATACAGGGTATGCACACATACATACCTACTTGTGTACTCAACTATGTACTATATATGTGCTACATATGCACATATTTCATGAGAATAATTGCAGCATATGTGAGCCCAGACATAAACGTAAGCTCTGCATAACCCCTGAATGTGGTAGTATATGGAGCGTTACGTGCAACATGTAAGCCTGACACTATATGATCGTAACTATAATATATGGCGGCTAATGCAGTTACGTTACATTACGATCCCAACAACTTCTGTTTAGCTCATTCTCAATGAAGTTTAAGCTTACACAGTTAACTTTAAATGGAGAGCTTTAACTGTACTTCAAGTTTGCTTGCCCAGGATCAAAAGCCCAAATCATTGATATTTTGCTGCTACCCCTAGCACAACAAGAAGAAGAGATCTGATGAAAGTTATCGTAAATTGAAAGCAAGTGTGCGTGTGTGTGTGTGTGCGTGTGTGTGTGTGTGTGTGCGTGTGTGTGTGTGTGTGTGCGTGTGCGTGTGTGCTTGGGTGCATTACAAAGCGTCAGCATTGGTATGGCGATGTCGACTCAAGTCTTAAGATAAGATTAAAAAGAAACCCAACTGAATCGCAGTCAATGATTCTATGTGTGCATATATGTGTGTGTGTGTGCTGTGTGTGTGCCTTGGTGCGCGCTATCTATGAAATCCATTGACAATGGGCCAGGCAACGGCTTTCTGCTGAGCAATGCAAACAGCAGCAAAATTTTTACTTCAAGCACGATACTCAAGTCTACGTACATATGTAAAAAGCTGCAAGCAGCGGCTCACAAAAGATACAAATGTATGCGTGTGTGTGTGTGCATATCTCTGTATATGTGTGTGTGAGCATATAGACATGCATGTCTGTCTATATAGTAAGCGCTGCTTTGCTCGCTCGTACTAAAGGCACAAGCCTCAAAGCGACACCTGACTGAATTTATCTGCACTTTACACACATATACACATACACACACATATACACATACACACACACACGCACACTCAACTAGACACACGTTGCTAAACAGCGCCCCTTCATACCGTAAACTGTGTCCATTACTGTTCGCCGCCCGCCCGTAACCCTTCAATAGCCAAAGCGCCCGCCCACCCCTGCCCCTCCCTGGAACGCCTCGCCAGCACAACAGGTGGAATTATTTACTGATAAGCCGCTGATAAAAGCGAGCCCAAGTGCTGGGTTTTGGGGCATACATATATATATATTTTTTTTGTTCTGCTGCTGCTGCTGCTGCTGCTGCTGCTGCTGCTGCTACTCTGACTGTTGCCCAAACACTCGCTTGATTCTATTTGTAGAGCTCTGATATTGGTAATGGCCGCGTGACTATATGATATCATATATGAGCACAATACTGTCTTTAACTACATATATATATATACATAAATATATATGTTTATATATATATAGACGCTATCAAGCTACAGCAATGCTTTGGGGTTTTCCTTATGTATGATTCTCCTTAAATGTATTAGACAATCTCATTTATAACATGTGTCTGGCTAGATATAGATATCGATCATGCTATATAGAACACATATCATTTATTTTCCACAGATATAATGCATATGTGGCTTCTAGCCATGGCCATCGTTGCGTATGCGCAATTTTTGCAATGGAGTTAATTCTTACTTCTTCTATATCTAGGTCAAAATATCGAACAGTTATACACAATATATGTGCACTATACTGAAGTCTGGCTGCATAGGTTTCAGAAACAAATGAATTCTGAACGTAATTTATTCGTAATTTGCATTCTTCTTCTTTGCATTCAATTATAAATTAAAATAGGATATCTTTTTACTTGAGACGCGTTTTCATTTGGTTATGGTGCCGCACTACTATTTTTGTGAACACTCCTCTCTAGTATATATGCTCAGCGTGTCACTCGTGTCACGACTGCAACAGCCATCTCTAGTCGACAGACAAGTCACACTATTCATTTGTTCCCGGCCTGTGGGTTGAGCAAGTTTTAAGTTCTAACTGTTTGTTGGCTCTTTGATAAGACTGGCCGAAACTAGCGACTGACAGGGCCTTGGTCACGAGTGTTGCTCCCTATACATATATATATGTGCGTATGTATGTGTGCATGTGCGTGCGTACGATGAGCTGCTCCAGTATCGAGCCAGCAAGCAGCGATAATGTAGAGTTTTTATGAATTATAAGTTAAATTGGCAAATTTATTTCAACTGCAAGCTGCTTCCCTCTCGCTCTCTCTCTCTGACTCAGAGACTCATATAACTGTGACTTCCTTTTACCTCCCGCTCTCTCTCTCTCTCTCTCTCTCTCTGACTTCCTCTAATGTCGAGCTAAAAGCTTCCTTAGCTCTTCAGGCTCTAGCGCACAACGCTCAGTTCAAAGCGCAGGTGTGCACAGGTAACAAAGCTGTTTACCGTAAGCAAGCCAAGTGGGCTGACTCGGACAGCTCTAGCCAAGGTTGCCAAGGCACAAGCAACTCTACAATAAATAGGCTACACTTGGTTTTAGGCTAGAGTATTGGGCAGGTAATCGCAGAGCTGAACTCACCTGAGTTTCGGGCCGGCTACAGTTTGAATAGTTGCACCACCAATGCAATGCTGCCTGCACGGTGGCTCTGAGGCAGCGATACGCTCTCGTTGGCTGTTGTTGTTGCTGCTGCTGCTGCTGCTGCTGTTGCAGTTGTTGTTGTGCTAAGAAGTTGCAGTTGCTCCAGACACTTGACAAACGTTTCAATTACTGCCGCAAACTATCTTTGATCGTTCACAATTTCGCTGGCCAACGGCATTGATGGGCGGGTTGGGCGCTGCACACACAATTGGGCTGAGTCAGTGCCGATCAGTTTATTTGATTATTAATCTTTTCTCTTGTATTTGCTGTTCGTTCTGTTTGTGTGTTTTGTGTCTTGTTTTTGTTTTGCTCTTCTTGGCTGCGATTGCGCTTCACACTGCGTATGCGTAATTTTTTCGTATTGGCCAAGCTACAGCTGCCAGCTCGCCTGCCTGTGTCTCCTCTATGTGTGCACGGCGTAAGTATGTACCTCGATCAGACTCTCTCTCTCTCCCTCTCCCTCTCGCCCTCTCTCACTCGCTTTGTTAACGACGCTCGTCTCGCTCTCTCCTTCGCTGCGTTCCTCGCTCTCAGTTGAAGACTTTGTTTTTGCGTCGTGCGCTTCTTTGTTGCTTTGATTACGTTTATAGTTGGCGGCAGTTGTTGTTTCAAACCTTGGACTAAAATTAAAAATACATAGAATCGAATTTGTTAGCATGAAATCACGTCCATACGTAAACATCACAACAGATACACACACACACGCACAGCTGTGTACGAAAAATGAAAATCGTGACGTCGCAGCTTCTGAATGAAAATGAAATTGCAAAAAAAAAAAATACAAATAAAAATATAATAAATAAAAACTTTACGGATTTTATTTAGAAGAACTGAAAACTAGAAAACTGAATATATAAATCACTTCACGAAACGTGTCTCAAACCTCGGCGCTTCGCTCTATTTTACTGCTTGCCAGTCTTGGAGATAATGTGACTGGCTTCAGCGACGCGAGGCGACGCGACGGCCAACTCATGCTTTGGCTGTTTGGCTGGAACCCAATAGGCGGCTAATATCTAATCTCTGTTAGCGGCAGCTTTATCTTATCGCCTTAAAGGTGAGCTTGCGGCTCCATGGTTACTGTCGCATTATAATATGGCGCGTAGCACTCCAACAGCAACAACAATACGCTGCAATTCAATTTGAAGCACCCCAAATACACACACACAGCCTGAACTGGCTGCTTTAACAGCCATGAGTCATATCAAAAAGGGGCGCAGGTGTTGAACCTGTTCACTTCGCTTGAAAAAGCTTCACAAAAGGGTTGCTTAAGCGCTTTTCTCTCTCTCTCTCTCGCTTACTCTCTGTCTCTCTCTCACTGGCTCTCTTGCTTCCTCGCTCTTTCTGCAGAGGCAGCTCAAGCCAAGCTTGCGCAGAGCTTTCATAAAGCAGTACCTAAGCAAAGCTTCAAACAGCTCTTTATGTACATCTATAACGGTAAATGCCTACATAAATATATATATAAATATATATATAAATATATATATATATATATATATATATATATATGTATATATCGGCATATAGCTAGCTATATATACAGCTGTCTAGCTGAAGCACAAGCGCGGCGTGAGCCAATAAAACATTTAACAGCAGCTGCACTCGAGCAATGCCTGACTATAAGATACCCTAACCAAGCTTTGGATGCGCTGCTGGAGTCTCGAGCTACAGCTAATGCGAGTGCTCAATGCAGTCAGGCTTCTACATTAAGACTCGCCTCTTCAGCTCGCTGCCAACTCTGCCAAGATCAGACGCTGACTGACTGCTAGATACCCAGACTAAACTGGTTAAACTCTTTTTTTTACTCCGCTGCGCGAAAGTAGACTTTAGTTTGATCTCTAAATGAAGTACGACAAGTGTCTGAGCCTTAAGACAAGCAGCGCTGCTCGAAGTACCTTCAAATTGAAGCATATTTAAGGCCTAATGATGATGCTAAGGTGAAGTTGATTTAGCCGCAGGTGTTTAAAGAAGCCGCACTCGGGCTTAAGCGTAACTTGAACGAAAAATATGTCTAATGCAAGCTTCAATATGCTATTATATATATTATTTATATATATTTATATAATAATTTGCTGGAAATCTACTGTGATTGATCTCAGATCTTAGAGATATACAAAAGCTCGCGCAGATGGCGCATGTTATCGAACGTGATGTCTGAGGCTGGACACACTTGTGCCCTGAAGACATAATGAGATCATATTATATGATTATATGAGCCAAGTCTGGACTCGAAATATGTGATCTTGCTGCAGCCAAAGTGAGTCTGCAAAGAGACATCGAAGCCATTTAAGACCGCAGACCTCGCCAGCCCCGCCCACTCAGCAGGCAGCGGACGGTCATACGCTTAGCCAGAAGCGAACAAATTATATTGTAGTATGCGCTGTGCAAGTGAAAATCAACAACAATAACAAAAAAAAGCAGCAGCACACACACACACAGACACATGCACACAAACACACGGAAAGCAGGAAAAGCGCAAAGCGCGAACGAAAGCGTTTTACCGTCTCTCTCCCTTGTTCTTGTGCTCCCGCTCTCGCTCTCTCTCGCTCTCGCTCTCTCCTCTCTTTCCGTCTTGATGTGTTTTGTTTTTAATTTTGGATCCGTTTGTCGGGATTTCGGTTCTCGGCGCGATGAAATAGTCACAGTCGCAGTCCAATCGAATACTGAAAACTGAATTCAGGCAACCAACTCGAATTGGCCGCGGCCCGAGCGCCACGAGCGGCCGAGCAGCCATCGCAGCCTGTTGTTGGCGCTGTTGCGAGCTGAGCAACAGCAGCAGCCGGCAGCGCATTCTCTGCCGCTGCGCCGGCTGTGCCACTAGCTGTGCCTCTATCTCTGGCTGTGGCCGTGATTGTGGCTGCTTCACTTTGCCACCCGCTTGCCACACCCCCCCCCCCCCCTCCCCAACCCCAACACCTCGCTCCACTCTCTCCCTCTTTCATTCTTGCATCAAACAGATCCACCTTAAACCTAACACCCCCTCAGCCAGCCCAGGCCCCCAGTTTGGTGCCACGTCCGTCCGTTCTATTGGGGTCTCTAGCTGATCGTCCAACAAAAGCGCCGTGTGGGGTTGGCGATTTTCCAAATAAAAGTTCAAAGTGTGCGCGCACACACATGTGTGTCTGTGTGTGTGTGTAGGTGTACATAAGTACAGCGGAGGCAGCAAGAGAGTGAGTAGCCAAGAGAGAGAGAGAGAGCGCAGCTTCATGGCCCACAAAAAAAAAAATAAATAAAGAAAAAAAAGAAAAGTCAGTCGGAAAAACGTTTCGTATTTATGCACAATAGAAGGAAAAATTAACCTAAACATTTTGGCCAAGTTTCACATTGTGTGCACATTCCATTGCCATTACACAAAATTAACTGAAAATTTGCATTCAAGCTAATCGGGCACGATATAAATATATATATGGCTATATATGTGTGTAGTATATAAGGCTTGATCATTAACTTTTCCGATTCAGATATAGATATGGAAATTTGGGAATACTGCGAGTCCCTGATCTCAGTCTTAACTTGTTTGTAACAATTTGATTGACTGACTGAAAACTAATTTCTGACTGAAAGTCTAACTGAATGATTGATTGAATGACTGATGATTGATGAAGCATTTGATTGACGGGCTGACTAATGGACTGACTGATTGATATTATTACTGCGTTGTTTTTAAGTAACAATTTGATTGACCGGCTGATTGAACTGTATAATTAATTGTTGAATGATTGACTGACTGACTGACTGATTGGCTGAACAAGCAACTGACACATTGACAGACTATTTGATTGATAGATTGACAAACTGACTGACTGACTGACTGACTGACCGACTCACTCATAGATTGACTGATTTAGAGATGGTTAATTGAATGACTGATTGGCAACAGATTGAGCGACTCGCTGATTGACTGATCAAGTATTTAACTGACCAACTGATTGAGAGCTTGTCTAAGTAATTGATTGAAGAGACGACTGATTGACTAACTGCTAAATAGACTGACTAACTGACTGACTGACTTAATCAAGAGATTGATTGAAGCACAAGCTTATAAATTGACTGCCTGACTGAATGAAGACAGACTTAGCTCAAAGATAGATTGATTGATTGACATATGAACTGACTGAATGACTACTTCTAGACTTGAACGACAAATCGAGTGACTTACAGCATAGCTGATTGACAAACTGACTCAATTGCTGACTGCGTATAAGGTTTAACTACCAAAAGGCTGGCTTACAGCCTCACTGATTGACAGTCAGATTGACTCATGTCAGGTCTACAGATTTACAGTTTAAAGCACAAAAACTGCCTGCTCCATCTAATGTATGAGTTATCAATGGCTTATAAAGAACCGGAACATAAACATAGGCTTTGCATCCAACCCAATGCATGCTGATTATGAGAAGGCTTCTGTTGACTAAAGTCGTTTGACTATGGCTTAATTCTCTGTGCATTTTAGAGGATTCAAGATTGACTTCTTAGGATCTATAAGCTATATACACGCAAGATAACAAATCAATGGTATATATAGAGCATGCCCATCCTTGAATATATCAGTTCTGGAACAGGACTTGCATATATATATATAGAGAGAGATATATATAGAGAGAGATCGTTATATAGTACATCTCGATCGGTGGTTCAACTTGTTTCGCTTGCATCAATTAGAACGTAAGCACACAACTGTACTTTATGCATGGTCCAACTTGGATACTCTCTGAATTATTTCGACTTTATAAATAGACACGGATGAGACAAGGCGGCGGCCAGACGTGAGACGCGAAACAAGATGTGAGATGAGATCGGGGCCAACCGAGAAAGATCGCTTGATGTGTATTTGTATATATATATATAAATATATATATATATGTGTGTGTGTGTGTTTCTATATATTTTATGCATATATATATAATGCTTCATAGCTAGAGTTTAAGCTTTCCGCTGCGCACGATTTTCCACAATTTTCCTGCTCTCTTTGTTTTTGATTTTTGGCTTTTTTGTTATTGTTTTTGCTTATTTCATTTCTTTTCGGGAAACTCGAAACTAATGAGGCCGTCACGTCCGTGGACGTTGCGTCATGAAGGGGCCCCTGGACTTGGGGATGGCTTCGCAGCGAGCCGACGCGCCACCCTGTCCGAAACGCCGCAACAACAACAGAACTCTGCACCAAGTGGCAAGAGCGTCTGCACTTGAAGCGCGCCTCATCCGGGGGCGGGGTCATGTTGCAGGCATAGATACACTAGGTATATACATCTAGCTATGTATAGATAAAAGTGGAACTATGTATATATATGTATATATATAGGCTCGGTTCGTTTGTGCTTTGCTTTTGCCTGGCTCTTGAGTAGGAGAGCAAAAAAGACGAAGAACCAGAACCAGAACCAGAACCAGAACTAGAAGAAGAACAGCAAGAAGAAGAAGAAATCATTGCGTTGGTTTTTCTTGGCACTCTTGGTTTTTCCTCGACTGCGCCGCGATTTGAGTTCAAATTTATTTTTGGCAGCAACTTGAGTTGTTGTCGGTTGTTGTTGTTGTCGGTTGTTGTTGTTGCTGCTGCTGAGTTGCCTCACCTCGGCCTTAGGCAAGAGGCAAACTGCGAGCTGACAACTGGCTACTGAGAACTGGGATCAGGCGCACGTCTGCCTAATCTGTGCGCCTGCGTGTGTGTGTGCGTGTGTGTGTGCGCGTGTGTGTGTGGGGTGCATGCGCCGTTTGATATCAGTTGCCCATCTCGTGTCTGTTTGTATAAACCATTTAAAGGTAATTGAACTTAGCTCCGTTCCATGCACCTAGGACAGCCATTAGAGCCGAGCCCAATGTGACCGAAAATGAGAGCAAGAGAGCGAGAGAGCGAGAGAGCGCGAGAGCGGGCGAGCGAGAGAGCGAGAGGAAGCGCAAGCGAGCGAGTGCACTGAAATGAGCGCTATAAATATGGCCAAGCCAAAAATAAACGGAAAGAAGCTTTGAGTACACGCCATGGGGCTGCCCATAAAATGAGATATAGGGCCAAGAGCGTTAGACAGAGATGGCCGATGTTGTAGCATTTGGTAAATACACAAATTTGTGTTCTAAACTTAAAGATGACGAGCGATTTAATTATAGCATCAAGCAGTTTAGTTGGATTAGACATAGCTTCAGTGTAAAATTTCATGTGCGACTCGGTATAAATAAAACGCGCGATTGGGAAATCTTTGGCGTTAGATCGATCGGGAGGAAAACAGCGTTAGATAGAGACATATCTGGAGAAGGGAGGGAAAGAGGAAAAGATTTCCTGAACTGCATTGGAGGAGAGGGGCGAAGAATTTGTTACCCGGCTTTGCACGGCTTGCGAGCTTTTTGCATTTCTTTACCGAAACTCAGGAGCTATAGATCTTATGAGATATTATCTATAGATACTCAGATAGCAGCGATCTAAGCACTAGATTGGCAGTCTATAGCTCTTATATTCCCATAGTTTCTAGCTGTATAGCTCGCATAGTTGCTGAGCTCCTAGTTCCTGAGATAAATGATTTTAGGCATACGAGACAAACGTGAAAACTTAATAGATAGGCTCAACTTTTGAAGCTAACTAAAAAAATCAAGTATTTTACTAAATATGCAAAGTGTTTTAACATCGAATACAATAAATTAAATTTGAAATATTCCAAATATTTTCTATTTTAATAGTTTACGAGTTTTTCAAGTATAAAAAAAAGGAAAACTTATCATTCCGAGCAATTTCAACCAACTGTTGCAAGCTTAAAGCACAGCATTAGGCGCACAGCTTTTTGGAAAAAGGTAACAAGCCAAAAATTGGGCATAAATTAAGCATTAAAAAATCTTTTTTTGAACTCAGAAGTTTCGGATTTCCACCCGAAGACGAAAACAGCTGCGAGTCCAACTCAAAATTGTTTGACGATATTTTTAGGCTAAAGCGTCAAAAACATAAAAAGTTTTCCCTTCAAATGTGCGCTGCACATTGGGTAAATGATCAAGACAAGGTGCGTTAGAGAGAGAGAGAGGGAGACAGGTAGAGAGGGGGCGCAGCTAAAGGAGTGTGAGTGAGTAAATATGATTGCATAGGGGGGATGGCTGCTCGAATTGTGCCACAAAAGCCAAAGTTGAAATGAAATAAAATTAGAATATAGCAAGAAATATGCAGACATACATTGTATGTATGTGGTGCACGCATACATGCATATGCTTATAGATAATATGGTATGTATGTGCATATGAAATTATATAATACTAAGCCGATAGCTTAGGACAGCATGTCACTAAAAAAATCGATAACAATTAATTCTCAGCGTCAACTGCAAGATGATTGCAGCCACAACACAAACGACAAACAAAAACAAAGCCAGAAACGAAAACAACAACAACAACAAAGACTGTAATGGCGCGCTGGCAGGCAGCAAACTAAGCTAACTGCAAAGCAAAAGCAACAATAAAAAAAACAACACAAAGTAACGGCAATGCTGTTCGGCTCGGCGGCTGTAAGCACGAATCAAGCAAAGCCGAAGCCGAGGGCAGGCCAGCGCAAGCTTTGGGCAAAGGACAAAGCTCGCAACGTAACTTGCATAAGTGTATGCGTATAAGTACCTCTGTCAATGTGTATGCGTGTGTGAGTGTGAGTATGGCCCAATGCTAAAGCGTGTGTTGATGTCATAACTAACGGCGAAAACGCGCACGCCAAGGATAATGCGCCACAATGGCAACAGCAAGCCATAGCAGCGGCAGCAAAGCCCACAAAACCATACAGCTGTGAGCCACCCATTTTGAAACACGTTTTAAGACGCTGTCAGGGGGGTTGAAAACCCAACAACAACAACACGATGAAGAAGAAGAAGAAAGTAAGGAACAATAAGAACTGGGAATCCGGCTCAAGGGAAGCTGCGCACAAAACTGCGAGCCGGGAGCCGAGCTGTGGCCGCGTTTCGAAACGCTGCTGGGGTGGAAAATACACTCACACAACACACACACACGCGCGCACGAAGACAAACTGACAGACAGACAGTTTGGCGCGGCAAGACACAAACACATAAATATATGTAGAATACACAAATAAAAAAAATACAACTCCAATTGGATTTGGCAGCAATGCAAAGTCTTGAGACTGGCATAACTCACGCTTAGCGCAACATACGAAAAAAAAGACATCAACCGTTCCTTTTGCTGCATGCTTGCCTGTTTGTGTGTGTGTGTGTGTGTGCGTGCACACGCATATACAGCTGTCAATTTTAATATACGCTCCGAGCATATTGCACAGATTTTGAGCTAGACTTTGCTTCTAACCTCACACGCACTATACCAGAAAACACGCGCAGCGCAACGTTTTGTTTACACTCTGCAACAAATACTAGCACACACAAACAAACACACTCAATTTTTAATATATTTTGCTTCGTTTCGGATTTGCTTACTTCAGTCTGTTATTAACAAAAACAAAACAAAAAACAACAACGGGAACGGGAACGGGAACGTGTGTCGTCACATGCTGCTCGCTGTTAGACAAACAAATTCATATGCGCAAAACAAAATAACCAAAAAAAAAATAATATATATATATATAATTTTGTACGTACGTACGCTCGAAGGGCGGCAAGCGCGCAGCAGAATGAAGCGAACGCGTTTAACTGTAGTCGGCAAATGGCCAGAATTCTTGTTGCTGCGTCGCAGTCGCAGTCGCTATTGCTGTTGCTGCTGCTGCTGCTGATTTCGTTTCGGCTTTGCATGGCTTGCACACGATTTCGATTCCTTCCTTGCCACTCAAGCGCACCCATACATACGCACGCACAAACACACTCCTCACTCACTTACACACACACACACGTTCACAGAGCTGCCTGTTTGACAGCAGAGCAGAGAAGTTTCAGTTTTGAGTTTGGCGCGATTAATGCATTTGAATGCTCGTGCTTGCTGGCACGCATGGCAAATACAGTGGATTGTTAGACAGAGACAGACAGATATTAGTTATGAGCTAATACATTGCTGAGTTTACTTTAAAGGACTGCAGTCGTAACCTCTGAGCGACCAATAAGCATTTCAGCTCATTATCGATATCGATTAATTGAGCATATCTTTCGCTTAGAGTTGCCACTGCGTTGCCTACGAGCGTGAGTGTGTGTGTGTGTTTGGCAGCTCTATTTATCACTTTGAGCTCAATTAACGGTTAATCAAATCACACACGCGAAAAGCTTCAATAGCAATTTTGTAAAAATATTGTTTATTTGTAATACAAAATAATATTTCTTTTTATTTAATTTGGTTGCATTTGCATTTCTTTGTAACAATTACATTAAATTAATATAGAAAAATTTTATGTACGCTATATTAATGTTTTATTTCTTTAAGCTTAATCTGACAAAAAAAAAGTAGACGAGAAACATATTTATATTTTACTACAAATATAAACTTAGGCTACACATAAATTAATGTAAGAAATCATATGAATGTTTTTTCCTTTCTTTTTTTTATAATTATAAGCATCTTTCTAGCCTATTTAAATAAATACTCTTGACAACTTAATTTGATTAATGAAAAGAAAAAAAAATATGTTCGCATTAAAAATTGTTCAAACGGTTAAAGCTTTGTTTGACGATGATCGAAATTTAACTTGTCTTAATGCAAAATTAGAAAAAAAAAAATAATAAAAAAAAAGATATATATCTATTTATATGTATGTATGCTAATCGCTTATTACAATTAAATTTTTTATTATTAATTTTTAGGCTTAAATAAACTTGTGTGTGTTTATATCTGTATATGTAGATTTTAGTGATTTTTTTCTACTTTTTCTTTTTGTTCTGTTTCTCTTTTTGTTTTGTTATGTACAACGCACGATTGCGTATGTGCACCTACAATTTTGTTTTGTTACAAAATAACATCCAATTAACCAATTACATTCACTTTGTCACTTCGTCTAACTAATTAATTAGGTTTCCCTTTTCTTTAATAGCATTTGTACTTGAAATTTTGAAACGCGTTGGCAGCACCACTCACACTGCCATTTTGTTCTTCCCTCTCTTACTCCACTGTTAACTCAACCTAACATTGATTTCGCCGTCTCGCCGTTGTTGTTGCTGCTGCCGCTGCTGCTGCAACGGCTGTCCGGTTACGCGCACTGTAACAGCTGATGGCTGTTACTAGCGTTGCCATCGCACTGTTATTGTTCAGACTGTTGCTGTTAAGGCTTCTGGCGCTGCTAGTGCTGCTGCTGCTGCTGCTGCGCAGCGACCAACGTTTGGTCAGATCAGCTGCTGCCGCCGCCAGCGCCGCCGTGTAGGCGCGCGTGCCAATCGCAAGCGTCGGCACGACTGCATTCAACTTCTTTGGCGACGGTGGCGGCCGCGCTGCAATGCCACCGTTGCAGGACTGCAGTCGCGTCGGCTTGCTAAACTGACTGCTGCCGCTGCCAGCGTTGATGCTGATGCTGCTGCCGCTGCCCACCTGACTGGCGCTTAGCGTGCTGCGTCGCTGACTGCGCCGCTGCTCGCGCTCCTCATTGCTGCGACGCATACGTCGCGAGCTGCCGCCTGACGCTGCGCTCGCTCCTGTTGCGGCTGTTGTTGTTGCTGTTGTTGGCGTTGCCGGCTTGTTGAAAGTGTGACTGGATTTGTTGTTAGTTTGCCTGTTGCTGTTGCTATTATTGTTGCTGTTGCTATTGCTGCTACTGCTGTTGCTGCTGCGCAGCGTTCGCTTTGTCATGTCCAGGCTACTCAGCTGGCAGATGGTGCTGCGCAGCTGCCGCTTGCTAACAGCGCCGCCGGCCAGGCTGAGGCTGTGACTGCGACGCGTCATCATGACGCTGCTGCCGCTGTTGACGCTGCGACGTCGACTGCTGTGACTAATGTTCACACCGCCACCTCCTCCTCCGCCTCCGCCTCCGCCGCCGCCGCTGCTGCTGTTGCTATTGCTGCTAATGTTACTCTTAATGCTGACACTGCTGTTGCTGCTGCTGCTGTTAACGTTGCTGCTGCTGCCGCTGCTTATGCTGGTGCTGCTGCTGCTACTGCCGCTTGGCAATGCTTCGCTGTTGCTGTTGCTATTACTGTTGTTGTTGTTGTTGTTGTTGTTGCTACTGCTATTGCTGGTGTTGTAGGCAACAATTGCTGTTGCGCTGGCGGCAATAAATGATTTGCTTTTGCTGTGCTTGAACAGCTGTCGACGACGCGTTTGCAAATGTTGATGATTCTCATTGGGCACGTTGCGATAGCGACGCAGAGGTCGGCGTATGCGCGGCTGCACTGCTGCCAACTGTTGCTGCTGTTGTGTTGCCGGCGGCAATTGTTGCTGCTGTGCGACAGCGGGTAGCTGTTGCTCACTTGCAGCCACGACCACAACATTCGCCTCCTTCTCGCTTACAGTCGTGGGCGTCGGCGTGGGCGTGGCTGGCAGCGTGGAGCTCACTTCGTTGTCCTGCAACGTGGCCAAGTTCGGTTCACGCCAAGGCGATGCATAGGCGAACGAGGAACAACTGGAGGAACTGCAGTTGGAATTGGAACTAGAGCTGGCCTCAACAAGCAACAGTTGCTGTTGCTGCTGCTGCTGCTGTTGCTGCTGCTGCTCGCGCTCCAATGCCACCTGCTGCTCCTCATCGCGCTCCTGCTGCAGCAGCGCATTAAGCGCTAGCAGCTCCGCTGGCTGCTCCACATAGCTCGCTTCGTGTTGCTGTTGCGTCTGCTGCTGTTGCTGCCACCTGTTGCTATGTGCACTCACCGCCGCCTCCTGCTGCTGCTGCTGCTGTTGTTGTTGTTGTTGTTGTTGCTGCTGCTGCTGCTGTTGCTCGCGTCGCGTCTCCAGCTGTGTCAGCGAATAGCCCTCCTGTTGCTGGTAGCGCTGCTGCTCCTGCAATATCTCCTGCATGCTGCTTTGTTGCTGCTGCTGCTGTTGATTATGCTGTTGCTGTTGTTGTTGTTGCTGTTGCTGCTGTTGCTGATCCGCTGGTTGATGCTGTTCCTGCTGCTGCTGCTGTTCATTGAGCAATGTGTTGTAAGACTCGGCAAAGCTGTACTCCGTGCTGCTGGCATTGACGGATGTGTTGCTAACGTAGCTATCGTAGCTATGCTCCAGCTCCATCTCACAGCTGCTGTTGCTGTTGTTGCTGTTGCTTTTGCTGTTGCTGTTGCTGTTGCTGTTGCCATATAGCTCCTGATCGTGTTCCTGCTGCGGCTGCAGAATCTCTCTCAACAAATCCTCGTCCACCTCTTGGCGGCGATGACGTATTAAAGAAGTTGTTTGCTGCCAGCTGGAGATCGATTGCTGCAGGGATTTGCGCCAATATTTGCTATGCTGCACTACATCCTCGTCGACTTCTTGCTCTGGCTCTGGCTCTGGCTCTGGCTCTTGCTCTTGCTCCTCGTCGTCTTCCTCTTCCTGCTCCTCCTCGACCACCTCCTCCAGCAACTCCTCCTCAATGTAATAGTCAAAATTGCGATACGGCTCCGGCGGCAAGTGCCGCTTGGCCAAGGCACTGTAGGGCGTGTCATGGAAGTATTCCTGCTCCTCAATGTGGCCGCACAGCTCCAAGTCGAGTTCCTCCTGCTCCTCCAATTGAGCTGCCAAGCTGCCAGGATATTTGTTCTCCGCATCCATTGGTTCCAGCTCGGCCGTATTCGTTGGCGCCGCTGCCGTTGTTGCTGCAGCAGATGCGGGCGTCAGTATCACAGTTACAACGGACGTGTTGTCCGCGCGCATCTTTTTGTTGGCCCAGGTCTTGAGGGCCTTGTCGACCAGCGCCTTGCTAGGATTCATTACGTCCTGCTCGTGCAGACACTCGCCAATGAGATGTTTCTCCTGCACCGAGTCCACTGCCTCCTGCGGGTTAACAACGTTCCAAAGGCCATCCGTGCCGAAGATGAGACATCTAAACGGCAAATTTCAACATTAGTTAAAGATATTTTTAAATATTTCAAGTGTTGGTAAGTGCTAAGATAATTTGTCAATGTTGGTTAACGCATATACATATTTAGTGTTGGTCAATAACGTTTAAATCTAGCTTTAATTAAAGCTAATTAATTTCAGCTGAGGTTGCCAAACGAACTATGTTGATCCATATTCAAATTGAGTGTTGGAAAACAACACTAACTTTAGTAGCAGCAAGACGCTTTTTTCAGTGTTGTTCAACATTGTTAGTTGAGCTATATTTGTAAACATAGCAATGGACTACACTAAACTATACTCGCACAATATCAATTTCTAGAGACACACCTGAACGTATTGGGATCAATTTTGACCACTTTAACATCCGGATCGGGGCTAACGACAAATTCCTTGCAGCGCGAATTGTAGCTCCATAGATCGCCCAGCGAACGTGCCACAGCCAGAAAGGGTATATCATCGACGAGGGTGCGTCGCTTGATGGGTCCACGATGCATTGGATCGCGCGGACGATTCCAAACGACTCGCGGCACACCTGACTTGATGGCCACCTGGCCGCCGGAGCGCTGAATGCGCGCCTTCTCTGCCTGTGATTCGGGCTTGTGATCCGTTGTCAATTGTTTGGCGCGCCAGCGGCGCTCACCCGGATTCTGATAGCCGAGCACAATGCCCGAATCGCCGACATGTCCAATGTAAATCTTTTCACGGCGCATAAAGGCGACCGTCGCTGTGGTGCCGGCGGTGCTAAGATGTCCATTAGCTGTACGTGGCCACTTTTCTATAAGTAAAAACAAAAATAATAAATTGGAATTCAAATTGCTGTCAACGATAACAATATATCGATAAGTCGAGCAATCGTATTTTATCTAACTTTACACATACACATTTCTAATTTGACATTTACTACAATTTCCAACCGTTAAGATAATAGTTTTGCTTTTATTTTCAGTTTAAATTGATAATCTTAATCTCTTTTCATGTTTGTGACGTCAAAGCAACAATAATTTTAACGAAAACCTTTCCAATTGTGCACACTTGCTGCTCTGATATCTGCTTTTGCATGTATTGCTGTCTCGCCTTAACGTATGATTATAAAAGGCACACGCAGCGGGGTTGCCAGCATATGTCACATTGCAATCAGATGGCAAGCCTATGGAATATTCCACTCGGCCAATCGATAAGCGATTATTATTATAGCTAGCACATATATAGTTGACTCGCTCACTCACCTTGCTCTCGCCACATGGCAAAGTGTGTACCAATGTAACCTTCACGTATCGCACGCAGCACATCCTCATCGTTATCGGACCAGAATAGCTTCTGCTTCACAATCTCCAGCATGAGATGCTCCTTGGCATAAAGTGCTGCCTCGGTACCGCCGTGGCCGTCATAGATGCCAAAGAATGCGTATTCTAGCTCGTGTGTTAGCGGAGACTCTTGATATGCCACAGAGAATTGATCCTCCATATATTTGCGACCGCCCTGGCTGCACTGACCGGTCACACGCATATTGACGCCCAATGTAGGTGTGGAACTGGCGGCAGTTCTCTCTTTGCTTCGTTGCCTGCTGTTGACATTACCGCTACCTTTGGTGCGCATCGGTGTCGCTGCAGAGCAACTGCTGCTGTTATTCGTAGTTTCTGTTATGGGCGTGGCCAGTGGATCCTCATGTTTGAAATTGTCGCACGCTGATCTTGAGTGAACAACAACATCAAGCATTGTGTTGTTATTGTTGCTCGCTCGGGAGCAGCGCTGTTCAGACATTGAAGCCACTGCTGCTGTTGCTGTGTCGGGATTCACATTTGGACTCGCATCTGTATAGTAATTTATAACATCATACTCCACATGGGCAACATCCTGTTCTGTTTCCATTGGAAGTCTGTTTGTTGTTGTTGTCTGCATGCTGGGCAGCATTTTTGCATTTAAAGGAAAGGGGGAAGGAAAGTTGGGGCTGGTCGCAGCCGGTGCCCGTTTTGTACTTGTTTTGGTTTTGTTTATGTTGCTGCTTCTTCTTGATAGCTTAGTGCTACTGCTACTGTTGTTGTTTTTGTTGTTGTTGTTGCCTTCGTCTTTCACAGCAGTGTTGTAATTTCATGTGACATTTGGCACTCGCACTCCCAATATTGACTACTATCGTTGCCGTCTCGCTCCCACGTAAACTGCAAACAAAGTGTGTGTGAACGAGCACACTACTGTCTGCTTCTTTGTTTGTCTACGCTGGACGACAAGCATGCATACGTGTGTGTGCGTTTTTATAGTATTTACGTTGGTTGTTCTGTGCCTGTGTGTGGCAGCTTGCCTTCTTCTTTCTATTTTTTTTGTTGGTATTTTGATTTTTGTATTGGAAACCGCCGCCAATTTTTACCGTCTTTCGCTGCTTATAATTCTTTCACTTTGTGCTAGTATTTTGTTCTGAGCTCGTGTAAAATTATGGGAAATTGTATGCAGTCAATGCCAGTTGCAGTTTCACCTTGATGGAAAATCAGATTATGCGCGCGCTTTGCGAACACAAACAAAACTCGTTTGCAGCCTCTTTTCAAATCTTACAGTCTTTATGTTGTTGTTGTTGTTAAAACCGTTGCCGCAGAGCTCTTTCTCTTTAAATCTGCAGTTTTTGTTGTTAACGAGCATTTTCATTAGAATATTTTCGAAATAATCACGTACACACACACACAGTAGCAGTTTGTTAATAACACAAAAACGAAATCAAATAGAAAGCAAGCGAACGAACGAACAGAGAGCAGCAGAGTTGTAGCAGTAGCGTAAGTTTGACGGTAAAAAAACAACTGAACAGCGCGCTGCGACTTGTTTGTGCTGCCAACTCACAAAATAAGCGGGCGCTAAACAAGCAGCAGGGCAGGCAGGCCACTCTGGCACACAAATACACACACGCATGCTCATACGGTATATAAACATGTACATACATGCATACATCCGTTCGTATGTTTGTGAGCATATATAAGAGGGAGCGAGCGAGCAAGCGGTCGGATAATTGAGTTGATGTGCTGCCTGGGTTGCCAGACGCGCTGAGAGAAAAATTGTGAAATTGCTCAGCAGCAACACACACAGCACAGGGTTGCGGTGAAGAGGCAAGATCCTCTGCATATGACAGGTTTGCGTAACCCCCTAAACTAAGGTTGGCGCGTTGCTTATAAGTTCGAAGTGCAACTAAGTCAGTCGCATAAGGAACAAATTTAATTGTCTTAAAGAAACTAATTAATCACTACAATAATCTTTTGAAAATATTGCATAGGTGAAAATAAATGTATATATATGCACATATATTAACGAAATATAAAAAACTTAAATGTATATTATATATGCATACATATGTACATATTTTAAGAGTTTGATGAACTTTTAATATTAGAAAACCCTTTTTACTTTTATGATACTAAAAATTACAGCTATAAAAATTTATGTATAATTATTTATCTATACCTAGGTTTATTTTAAAAATCGTACAAATTGCTAACCAACGGCCACACCCTGCATAAACACAATCTGTGTACCCATCTTGCAGCCCTGAAATATTAGTCATCGGCAGTGCGCTTTAACGCTCTTGCATGTTGTTGTTTTGCTGGTTTTATCCCACACTCACACAAGCAGCTTATGTATGTACTTATAGCTGACACTAATAGCGGCGAGCAAACAATAGTGGTCCTGCTCGCACCTCTGCATTGGATATCTTGAAATGGCTGTAGCTCACAACTACCGCTCGTCATCGTCAAGTTGCTTTCGCTTCAGCTATTGTAAAGGGAACAAATGAAAATTTCCAATTTTAATGTCAGACCATGCACATATGGTAGGTATAACACTATGTAGATATGTACAATGTATATTGTATTGCATATACTAACAACTAAGGATGCACTTGTTTTAAAAATAAAATTTATTATTTATACGACGTATATACATAAGACAATGGGGCGGACGGGCGAAATAATGGAAAATCGGTCATTTGAATATGCGTTTTTTTGCGCTGAGGTTGAGTTGCCTGTTTAATCGGCCTAGAGGGCAACACTTGCAAGCGATAGCCGATAGCGCAAGCAACCCTAAAACTGGTGTCTTTTTTATTATATTATTGATATTGCATGGGCATGTATAAGTGAAAATACAAGTGTGAATGCCAATGACTGAATACCGTTTCCATTTCCAAAATACGAATGGTATGGCGGCATTACATAATCTGATAAATAATTTAATAATGTAGTATGTGATTGTTATTGGAAAAATTGTTTTTTTTTTTCTTTTTTTTAATAAAATGGCGCTTAGCCAACTAATTGGATCGTTTATTATACGTTATTTAAATATTTTTAGAATTCGATATCCAGCACTGCTTTGAATTGTAGTGCTAAACAACGGCACCGCTTCAATTAGTGTTTGGTATTATATCAGCTTTTGCAAATACGCAAATATTTGGGCACTTATCTTTCGACAAAAGACTTTACTAGCTCTGGGAAGCACCAATCAAAAATGTAGGTATTAAAAGCTTCAAAATAATCATGAATTAAATGGGCTTTTTTTAAAACAACTTGAATTTTGTGATTAGCGCGCTATTCAATTGTTACCGTCAAATGCAACCCTGTTAGATTCTAAGTCGCTAGTGCTGTCGCTTGTGATTTAATTCGTTAGTTATTCATTACTTGGTAACGACTACTTGAAGGAAAACAGTTGGTTTTTGTATATTACTTTGATTTGTAAAATATCTCATAAACCTCTTTCTGTTATAAAGAAAATTAAAATTATATTAAATGTACTTTCAAATATAATAGCCTTAATATATAAACAACTTACTCGAAAAGTACTCGATGAACGGTAAATATTCGTTACAAAAACGATTATCACTGTTGCCAAACGCGGCCTGCCAGAAGCCGCCTGGCAGACGCCGCCACCGCCTAGCCAATCAGCGAAGAGTATGTCGCCTACACTGAAGGCATTTGGGCTCGGTAGCGGCTGCGATACGATTGAAACAGTTCACCACAGGCGAGCAAACAGTTCACAACAGGGTGCGTTCCCAACTCGAAGTGTTTTTTTAAAATTTAGTCACGACGAGTGCGCTTAGCGGTAAACACAACTTATTCATATTAACTAACAGCTTTGGATATTTTCGGGTGCCAAGAATATTTTGTTGATTTTTGTTAATGTTCCTGGTTTTTTTATCCTAAGTGCAAAACGCGGCGTGCCAAATTTATATTGCGTGCAAAATTGCCAAAAAGGAAATTATATATGTATTCACACACCCATACAAACACACATGCAAATACAGGCACATGCACACATACCTACACATACATTAAGTTTGATTGGTTAGGACAGATTTTTTTGCGATTTTTTTTTTAGCTGAGATTATTCAAAAGTACTTTAATTAGTCGACAGCTGTTGAATTAGCTACAAGGCCGCCAAAAAAAGAAGAAAAACAATACTAATAGAACTTTTTGTCTTGGCACGCGCGCAACTTCCCAAAGACAACAACGACAACTTTACAACAATAACTAAGGTGAGTGAATTGTGCCGACGCGTGAGAAAAGTTCTAAATGAAGTTGTGCAATAAATTGACATACTTATGCATGATTGTGTGTACGACAGAGGTGCTGCTGGGGGGTGGGAAAAGTGCCCGGCCGGAGCCAGAAATGTTGCAGCAGATGATTTTGATACTGCCCAGCACTGCTTTAGATCATGAATGGTGATGGGAATAGCTAATGCCATTACCCAACACTGTTTTAGATCATAAACAAGAACCTGTGTGGCATGTTGCCTTTCAATCACTTCCTTTTTCTAGATCACTTTGCAGCCGTAAAAGCAATAAGAAAAGCTGACTCATTGTCTAATTCGATCTAGCGGCTTGAATTTTATGAGCATACAAAACTCTATTGTCTGTAGTTTAAAGACGGAAGAGCTGGTCTTCACGTTGACGTCATTTGTTATTTCGGATTTGTATATTTCATTTATTTATTTTTCTTGCCTAATCTGTCGCTTAATTTATGAGCCTGCCTTCAGAGCTAATTATGGAGCTAAAAGCTTTCTATGCAAACCAATTTCATGAGCTGATTGGCGTGGGAGTGTAAGACGCACACAGACACGCGCTTACACACACACAAGTCACACGAAGCTGTTGCTTGTGCAAAACGGAAACATGATGTGCTCTCTGTCTTATGCTGTCCTGTGTTATTGAATGGAAATTTGATCTTTTCAAGGCGAATTGAAATTACAGAATTCAACAGGATGTTGAGGGAGAGAGATAGATAGATAGAGAGATATGATGTTGGGTTTGGTTTGTGATGAGAAATACCCTGTAACTTTTTATTAGTAATAATCATATATAATAATAGTAGTAATAATAATATAAATAATATTTCAAATTATTCTTTTACTATATCATTTACATATATTCTCATATAATACTACATGCTATATAATTTACATAGATTCTCATATAACGGTTCATCTACTTTACTATTTGAGTTCATTTTGATTTTAAATATTTATTAATTTAATATTATTCAAGAGTCGCTTTATTAAAGTTAATTAAAAATAAAAATCAACTTTTTTACAGTTCGATACAAATCGTAGCATACTTTGCTGAGCTCTGCCTCCACAGTTGTCAAGCAACTGCAATTGCACGCGCACACACACACAGTCGCACACAGAGTCTATTTATAGATCAGGTTTCTCTGCCGTTCTCTGTAATCAACAAGCTGTCTTCGTTTGTCCAACTGTCAATGCATTTCTAATTGAGTTAATCAGCAAAAGTTTTCTGCTCGTCTCTTTCATTTGCGTCGGCTTCATTTTTCTCTGCGTGCCATTGTTGCATGTTCATAATTCTGCCTCCTGCTTTCTGCGTCCTGCCTCCTTTGTTGGCTTCCTTCTGCCGGCAGCTGCATCCTTTTTGCACTTAAATGAATTTCCATGAATGTATTATACTGAGATGGGGTTATCATCCACCCCACCACCCGGCCGCCTTCTGTGAGTGTGAAGCAGATGCAGTCGAGTAAATTTTTCCTCTTTCTATTTGAACGCCGTCCTGTGTTTGTGTGTGTGTGTATGCCCGTCCATTCTTCACATTTTGCGGCTGACCTAGTAGCTACCCAAGCCACCCACGTACCCGCCTTGCCAATGAGTCAGTTAGTTCTCGTTAGTCAGCAAACTATTAAAAACATTTCCGCTGTTATTATTTGACATTTCCCTTTTTGCATTTAACTAGGAACAGTTTTTCTAGAGCTCCTCTTTTCTCCCTCTTTTATTCATTAAAGTTTGATTGGGGAATAGTTTTGGGTTAGTTAATTCTTAAACCACTAAAATGTGTAAACTCGAGTAAAACAATTTAGGATAGGCATTTGTATTGCTGCGAGTGGGAAAGTATGCCAGATATTCTAGTCTAGTTGAAGCTCGAATTCCGATTGCAACAATCTGGAATTTCTGCAGGAAAATCAATATGTTAATATATATTATTTAACTGGCAATATAATTTGATGAATGTGGCCCATTATCATACATATACAGTTTCATAGATATGCAATAAAGCACAGTTCTCGAAAATAATAAAACCTAATTACAGATTTACGGTATTCAAATGAATTTTTGTTTAATTCATATCATCTGGAATAACAAACATGAAAGACCTGCAAATTCCCATATACACGCACATACACGCGCACACATGAAAATATAAGCAGCTTTTGTTTGACTACACTTGAAAAAAAACAGGGTATATTGCTGCAGTATATATAAAAAAAAAAAACAAAAAAAAAACAGATTTCAGTTTTGAATTTATTTTATATAAATTACATTTGCTTAAAAAAAAAAAAAATTAAATAAAATAAAATGATGAAAATCTCTCTTCCTCATGAACAAAGTTCATTTAATGAATACGTGCTGAAGCACCCAGACATGCTCCCATCTCTCGATGATTGATAAGCTTAAATCGATGGCAGTTTGCTATGCTTTTGAGGTATTTGGCAAGTGCATTTGGGTTCCTGTTAACGTGGTCTTACCGTTGCAAATCAGGCTTATAAGCTCTTCAAAGTATAATGGAACGAACCGAATACTAACTGAACAAGCAACAACAACAACTGCAATGCACCAGCAACGTTATTAATACCGAACAATAACAGCATTTACAATAACAGAAGCAGTAGGAGTAGCGGCAGCGACCGAGTTCATGCAATTTACTGTTGCATTTGAATCAGTACTCTGAAAGGCATTTGCTCTTGCTCTCTACCTCACTCTGTCTCACTCTTGCGTGCTGTGTCCTTGGTTGCAGCAGCTGCGAAGAGTTTTTGTTGCTTTGGTTGCCAAGGCCACGGTACGTGCTTTGCACTGACTCTTTCACACAGCATTCGTTGCGCTTTTGGCACTGCTCTGGCTCATTGCTAATTGATGTTGGTGTGCGCCTGTGGACCGAGTGTGCGAGTGAGCAAGCGCGCACACAAATGCTATGTGGAGGCCGATTGTTGTCTTCTTTGCCTATTAATATGCGCTTTGTTCTGCCCAGTTGCGTGTGCTGTGCAGAGGCTTTATAGTTCAGCTCTTCTCTTTGATATTTGATTTGCAATGCTTTGTTGGTGTTCTTGTTGCTGTTCATAATTGAATTGCCAACGTTACGCATTGTCGCTCGCTCACAAAAGTATGCAGCAAATTTGTCCAACTACTGCGCCTGCGTCAATAGTGTGCATGTGTATGCATGTGTGTGTGTGTATGTGTGCATTACTTTATTAAGCAATTGATTACAATGGCAGGCACTGTTGCGTGATGTGCCTGTACCTGCTGAACTGTAGAATTTATTGAATTGCATTCTACTACCTGTACCTCCCTATCTGCATCACCTTTGTCTATGGCCCTCCCCCCCGAAAAAATGTATATGTATCTAATAAATTTTGAAAAATATTTGCAGAATGCAAATATTGGTTTTCTCTTTTTCATTGCAGACGTAAAGAAGACCACATTCAACGTAACAAACTAAACGAAACAAAACAAAAAACATAAGCAAAAATGTCTGACCGCAAAGCTGTCATTAAGAATGCTGATATGAGCGAGGAGATGCAGCAGGATGCTGTCGATTGCGCGACACAAGCCCTCGAGAAGTACAACATTGAGAAGGTAAGTCAGAATTGGCTAAGGAATACTTTTAGAAGTTGAACTTAGATTGCTATTTGATCTTTAAATGGAAATAGGAAGAAATACTTTGATGATATAGGTACAAATGTCTAACATATGTCATTCTCATTTCATATTTCTCTTTATATAAATTTAATTCTCTATCTTGAAAGCTAACACCGAATTGGTGTAAAGAGTAGAAACAACATGTATAGAGAGTACAGCCCGCCTAGAGTACACTCATATAGTTTCAAATTCATATTTATTTACGAATAGTCAAGAGTGCTCGACTAATAGATACCCTGCAACCTACGCAGAGCTGCTAGTCCAACGACTCTATGCTGCTTTTAAATTTCTACGTTTTCTTCAAACCTGATTCACATTTTCTATGGGCTCAGGGTAAAAAATGTATGGAGTATACAGCATTTTGCATTTGCTTGCATTCAACCCTCGCATTTTAACCTGATTTCCTTCATCAAATTATGGGCCTTCGGCAAATTGAATCTGGGCAACAAACATGGCCTATAAAACTAAAGCGCCTGGCGAATGCGGGTCAAATTGAAGGCATTCTCGTGGCATTTTTTAAACTTTCTCTTTTTTTTATCAATATTCGTTCAACGCGCATTTAAGAATTTTGCTTGTGACATTTGCATTGAGCATTTGTCGCGGCTTCTGGCTTTGCAGAGATAAAGTGCAGCTGGCTTTGTGTTGCCAGCGTTTGCCATTTTCTGTTTAGCTTCTAGCGACTATGTTTGACATTCTCAATTTAAAGTTGATTGCAAAGTCGCAGCAATCTCTATATATATACATATAAATTGGAACGTCAAAGGCAAGTGGCAGCGTGCTCATAATTGCGAATGTTTTCCTTTGAGCTGGAAACAAATCAATTCCACGTGTGTGGGAGATGCTTTTAGCCGAAGGCCATTGGAGTAGCTAGGATTATTATTTAAAAAGTTCCGACAGTTTGCAGAGCTCTTGTAGGAGTGAACACTAATGAAAATAAAAATCAATATGATGAAGGTAATGAAAATAATAATAATCATAATGATAATAATGAAATTAATAATGACAAAGATGATAATAATAATGACAATGATAATGATAGTAATAATGATAATGATAATAATAATGATAATGGTAATGATAATGATAATGATATAAATAATATTGATAATAATAAATATATATATATAAATATATAAATATAATGAAAATGAAAGTACTAATGATAATACTAATGATAATAATAATGATAATAATAATGATAATGATAAGGATAATGATAATGAAATTGATAATGATAATGATAATGATAATGATAATGATAAATATAATGAAAATGAAAATCCTAATGAGAATAATAATGATAATGCTAAGGATAATGATAATGATAATGATAATGATAATAATGGTAATGATAATGATCATGATAATTATAAATATAAAGAAAACCATATACATAATATAATTTTAATGCTCATAGTAATGATAATGACTATAGTAATGATAATGATTATAGTAATAAAGAACCAGAACAAACTTTCTCTTGCTTAGGCGTCTCCCACCTTGAAACTGAGCGTTTTACTCCGCATTAACCTTTCAGGTGGGGCCCTTCTAAGTGCTCTACCCAAGCATTATTTCCCGGGTTTCTGCGTTCAGGTTCCATTTTGCTTGCCGTAAATCAATTCCTTTCATTGCTCCTCTATTAGAGACTCTCCTTTGACTTCGCCCAGAGTTTCGACCAGGTTTATTCCCTTTCTTTGGATTGTCCATTGTAGTTGGCTTCGGCAGCTTTCCCTTTTGGAGCAGGATGAGTTGTTTTTCCATATTGTCCATTTTGCCACAAGGCTAAAGTCTGCTGTTGCAGCTTCTTTTATCAGTGAGGTTGCAGTTTTTTTACACCTGCTTATAGAAGTGCTTATAGTAGGACTTGCATTTGTGGCTTCCTTCAGGCGTATACGCAGAGAGTCTGTTGCTATCACTAGATGGTTCACTGAGCCCTTAGCGTGTCTCTGTTGGAATCTGCTTATGCGAAGACAGAGGCAATTCTGTTGTGGCAGCTGGGGCCGTGAAGTCAGGCAGGTGTCTTCAGGCAGGTCGCAGAGCTCTTGTGCCAAGTTGTTCATGTCGATTACCTGATAGTTTGCTAATAAGAATGGAAAATGCAATGGATTCAGCTGTGAGGTAAAAAATGGAACTCGGAATTGAATGTAAATCGACTTGGGTGGGTGTTCGCTTGGTGGCAGTGTCCTTTGACGTGATTTTCAGTAAACTGATTATACGAACAGCATTAAATGGTGGTCGTTGAGGTCGACTGCTTTAGCTGGCCATCAACTGGGTCTGCGTTGGCCGTGGCCAAGGGCAGGACTTAATATAAGCCTGGCCAGCAGCGGCGCAATGTCAACAAGCAATAGAATAATAATAAGAGCTAAAGCGAAGCAATGGAAATAATCAATAGACGTGCGCCAAAGGCAGCCGTTGGGGCAGCCACTGGGGCATCCAGCGATGCTACAAGCTTTCCGACTAGCACTGCCCCAACCCACTGGTCAGTTGGCTGTCCGTTGCGGAGCTGTGGGTGTCAGAGCCTCTGTCAATGCCAATGGCAGGTGCCAAGGTAAGGCCTTGAGAGCATAGCAAAATGCGACGAGAAAGACGCGGAGAGAAAATCACAGCAAATAAGCGAGGGCTCACTGTGTGTGCGGGTGTGTGAGGGGCGTGGGGCGTTGGGCATGGGGTACGCGTCTGCTAATTGAGTAGTTAAAAGGCAAAAACATCATTGAAACGCGCGCCCTGCCGGAAAGTATGCTACAAATTTTTCACTGCCGCTTACAAAGTTGACAGAGTGTGTGGCTGCGTGTGTGTGTGTGCGTGTATGTGTGTGCGTGTTTGCCTGTGTTAGTGCAGAGGCGCACGCATAGCTACCACGCCCCAATTGCCCATACATTGGCCCACAGCCGCCTGCCCCTCGTTGCTATAAATAAAATATATGCCATGAAATACACACACACACACACACACACACGCACACACACAGACACACGCACACAGAGGCTGGCAGCCATTCAAATACATATAAAAGACATACAACAAGTGAAATGGGTGTGCGTGCAGCAAAGTGGGATTGATTGGCTTTGCTTTGTTGCTGCTGTTGCCATTGTTGTTGTTGTTGTTGCTTGTTTGTTGTTCTTATTGTCTGATAATATTAATAATAGTGTCATTATGAATGCTCTTAGATGTGTGAGGGTGTGTGTGTGTGTGCTGTATGTGTGTATTGCATTCAATCTGTATTAGATTCAACAAGCTTTAAGCTCAAAGATAGCTTAGGCAGTCAAATTAAGTTAATAAAGCACATAATGATATGGTACATTGATATATGATGATGATATATATGTATATGATATATATCATACATGATATAATATATATATATGTAAATATGATTTATCTGTAGCTTAGAACTGATTTCCATTTCAGATTTTAATTTTGTCCAACAAAATTGTATATAGCTATAGTTATATCTCATTCTATATAAATATCTATATCTGTAACTACAGCTTTAGATGTATCTATATCTATATCTATCTATATCTACAGCTCTATCTATCTATATCTATATCTAAAGTACATAGAAATTTATTTTTATGTTATTTTACTTTGCTTTACAGTTAAGATCTCTCAAATATATATTTAAAGTATCTTAACTTTGAACGAAGCTAATGTTCGTTCAGTATATAGCAAACTGAGAGCAAATCACATCAGATTTCTCAGAGTTGAGTTTCTTTGGAAATTGAGTTTGATTTAATTTCAGCTGAAACGAAATTGATATTAGTTTAAATTTAATTGAATTGCATAAAAATGCAATAAATTCTTTCTAGGAAACGAAATTTCTGCAATTGAATTTAATCCGCTTTCATTTTGTGCTGAGATTTTTGCTGCTCGTAAATCATTTTGCAATTAGCAGAATTTCGCCAACTCTCCATTGTCCTTTGAAGCTTTCAATATGAAATTCATAAAAATTATTGTTATGAACTGAGTTCGTTAAAAACATTTCGAGTTGCGCTGCAAATTTGTGCGAAAATTGTGCAAAAACTCTAAGCTCTATGCAACACACACGCGCAACATAATGGAGAATTTTCATTAAGCAAAATGCATTTTGCTTTGCTTTTCAAACAAAAAGCAGCCAACAAAGTAGCAAAAACATTTATAAAAAAAACAAGAAAAAAGCTATAAGCTCTGGTATCCAATAGATACGCAACTAGCACACCAATACACAAGGGTTAAATTGGCACACACACAGCGGCAGAGGCAGAGGCAGAGGCAGAGGCAGCGGCAGAGGCAGAGACACGCACCGGATACACACACAGCACAGAAGCATAGCAAATTATGTGATATATATATATATAGTATATATAGTATATATACTATACTTATATATATTTTTAGGGGCGCTTAACCTTTCGAGAGGCTTAAGTTCTATCTACCAAAAGGCAGTATGCCTATGTATTGGTGTTTGTGTGTGTGTGTTTTGCCTTGGCTCTGGCAGCGATTTAAAGACAAAATCCCAAAAATAAGCCAAACAAGAGGCTAACAAACCAAATAAACCAGCAGAAAGCAAAGCGCGCTCTAAGCCCAAATTAAATCAATTTTCCCGCATCGTTTGCGTTTTGCTTTCTTTTTGTTAAAAATAAATGTAATTAGTTCGCTTTCAATTTACATTTGTTTTTGTTGTTGTTTTCGTTTTCGTTTTCGTTTTGAAATTCATTTATTATTATTATTGTTGCTGGTTGATTTCGTGCTTGTAGCTAGAACGAAAAATGCCATTTTGCGTGGCCAAATGTTTAATCAATATGCGGCCAAATATATCCGTCAAGTCTGTCTTCCCTGGTGCCTCCCGTCCCTCCCTATCTGCCTCCCTCCTGTCCGCCGTACGTCCCTTGTCGACATATAGAGTACATGATTTGGGCAGGCAATTACACAGTATCTGACAGGCTCCCACCACGCCCCGCCTCCCCAAATCCTGCCCAATTCAGATTGAATTGAAAATAAAAATTCTTTTTTTTTTTTATTTTTTTTTTGCTTTGTTTTGTTTTGTTTTGTTTGTGGCGCAGAGCTGGAAAATTAGCCGCTGCGGATATAGATAAATGTATTGATAGTAATATGGGCTATAAAACCAGCGTATTTAAGGATTTAAGTGGAATTATATTGATTTTCGTATGGGCAGACAAATATTTGTATTAATTAAAAGAAAAAACTCGAGTTCGTTAAGTCAACTAATTAAATACGCAAATTGTTAGTGAATCGAATCGGCTTGTGGGACTATTCTTTCTCTCTGACATAATGTTGAAGGCAAAGTCTGGTGACTATATAATGTGTGTATCTGGAAACTATGTATGAACAATGATAATGAATAATGATGAATGTATCTATCTAGTGATAACTTGCATAAATCATTATTCATTGTTCATTATTCATTATTCATTATTCATTATTCATTATTCATTATTCATTATTCATTATTCATTATTCATTATTCATTATTCATTATTCATTAGGCAGGAGGTCGTGGAATGTGCAGGAGGCAGGAGGCAGTGAGGCAGGGGGCAAGGAGGCAGGAGGCAGTATTCATTATTCAGTTATTCACTGAGGCAGGTTATTCATTATTCCGAGTTTCACTATTCCTTATTCATTCATTATTCATTCATTATTCATTCATTATTCATTATTCATTATTCACTATCATTATTCATTCATTATTCATTCATTATTCATTCATTATTCACTATTCATTCATTATTCATTCATTATTCATTCATTATTCATTATTCATTATTCATTTATGGAATATAATAATTTGAAATATTTTAGATCATTTATTAATAATAAATAAATGACAATGAATAACGATGAACAATGTAATGAAATATTGCATTATGATGATGACTCATAATAATAACAACAAGAATAATAATGAGTAATTGAATATAATAATGTGTAATGATAGCTGACATCGATGATTATTCATTTATTGATAATTAATTATTCATTAATAATACAAAATAATATATTTGATATGGTTTATCTGCAATGAATAATGAGTGATGTATAAGAATCATGAATATTAAGATATTCGTATATAATGTCATATACAATAATGATGAGCAGCTGATGATTATGATGATGTAATGATGAATGTGATGATGATGATAAATTGATGAATGATGTTCTAATAATGATTCATGATAATGATAAAGATAATGAATATGCTGAAGATGATGATGATGATGTTGGTAGTCATATAATGATGAATTATGATAATAAAGAATATAATGAAAATGATGATATAATGATGAAGATGATAATGTGATATGATGAATCATGAATCATAAAGATGATGATGATGAAGCAGGATGAAGATGATGATAATGATAATAATAGATTGATGAATCAATATGATGATAAAGATTATAATGATATATCATGATGTATCATGTTAATATGTGACTTAATTAAACTAGGACCAAGATCGATTAATTAATTAGCTATTCATTCATTTATTCATTCATTCTTTTATTCACTTAATCATTCATTAACTCATTCGCATAGCTATTCAGCTGGAGCATTATGAAAAACTAATGAAAAGTCATCAATGAGTGACTAATGGAAGAGCCTTTGCCTTGGCCAAAATATTCAGTTTAGGCAACAAAGAGATGGCTTAAATTGGTTGGGTTGGGCCAGTTGGTGTGTTGCATGTGTGGCAAGTCTTTTGGTGGCATACAACTTTAGGCCGCTAAATTAATGTGCACTTTGTTGTTGCTACTGTTTGGACTTATTTTTTGGCGTTGCCAAAACAAGTTGCCCAACGTTGCAGTTGGGGCAGCGCCTACCCTAGCCCGAGTCGAATGAATAAAGTTACGTATATTAAACAGTCAACGCATTATTGTCGTCTGGCACGACACAAAACAATAAGAAGCAAAGCTGAAGAAAACTTGGCAATAACTTTACAGCGATCGTGTCATTTAGGGGTGGTCGGTGGAGGGGGTGCGAGGTTGCGGGTGGTGCTCAAATGTGTAACAGTCGCCATTGTCGCACAGAGCTTTGCCAGTGCTGTTTGCTTTTGAGGTTACTGGGTTAAGTTTATGGCTTTAGCACGCATTTCTTCTCAAGTTAGGCAATTTCCTATCTACTGCAGACTATCCCCAGGGGCAGGGGGTAGCTACCCCTGGCTCATCCCTCACTCGATTGCCAGTCTTGGGCATAAGCTCTGAGTGATTCTCAAGTCACATTGATTTTGCTTTGGCATACAGTGCTGGCTAAAATAAGTGGCCCGGCTCAGTTGTTGCTCTGGCACGTCTGCTCTCTTCCTCTTGCTCTATATTAGATTAGTTAACAATATTTGTGAAAAGTCTAAATTCATTTCACTTCAGATGAAAGCCAACAAAAAAGAAGGCTAAAATACTGTTACTTGGCATTAAATGCCGTCAAATGTTTTGCTTTGTTTCCGCCGCCTTTTGGCTTGTGTGTGTGTTGCGTGTGTGTCTGTTTGTCTGCCTGTCTCGCTTTTCTTTTGTCTGTTTGGTGTCTGTGTATGCGACGTCGATGTCTGTTTGCATAACCCTGGCTTTAGCCCATTAAAAGCGACTGGCATTGACCTTTGCCATTTGCCAATGCGTCGCTGCATGTGCGTGTGTGTGTGTGTGTGTGTGACACACTGTGTTGCTTGAACCTGCCGCTGCTGATTATGCTACAGTTTTTTTATGATTTTACAACAACAGTCATAACTAACTCATTAGCACATAAAACTTTTTGGCACTTGGCGCTTACGCTGTGCCACAGCCGTGCCCCAGCCACGCCCACGCTCACGCCCTCCGCACAATCAGTTTTTGAGGTCACACAGGTTTGGTTACGGGTGGGCGTTTGTCGGTTTGTTGGTTTGTTGGTTGTGGATTTTGGTTGTTTTTATTGAGTTTGCGTCGTTTACGTTAATTCGAAAAGCCGTTAACAAACACTAGCTAAATAACTGTATCTCCCTCTCTCTCTCTCTGTTCACTTGCAGGATATTGCGGCTTACATCAAGAAGGAGTTCGACAAGAAATACAATCCCACATGGCATTGCATTGTCGGACGCAACTTTGGATCGTATGTGACACACGAGACGCGCCATTTCATATATTTCTATCTGGGCCAGGTGGCCATTTTATTGTTTAAGAGCGGTTAAAGTATTGTCGAGTCGGATGAAGTGGTGGTCAGGAGGCTGGAGGAGCAAGAGCAGCAGCAGCAGCAAAAGCAACAACATTCTGATGTTGCAGAAACTGCTGCTACTGCTACTGCTACTGCAGCGGCAGCAGCAGCAATGCGGGAGGGACAACAGCAGCAGGAACAGCAGGTAGATGTCGATGTGCACATGGAAGTGGAACTTGAGGGGGAGGAGGATGAGCTGGAGGAGGCAACAGCAAAAAAAACAACAACAACAACAACAGCAACAGCAACAGCTGATCACGATGTAGAGTTAATGGAACAGCAACAACAACAGCAGCAACATCAACAACAACAACATTATCAACATCAGCAACAGGAAGAAGAATCATATGAAGATATGGAGCTGGAACTGGATCTGGAGGAGCTAGCCATGCCCATCGATGCTGCTGCACAGCAATGCGCTGCGTATGTCTATGAGCAGCAGCAGCTGGTGCAGCAGCAGCAGCAGAATGCAAATTTTGCATATGATGAAGATGTCGCTGATGATGATGATGATGCTGATGCTGATGACGATGATGAAGATGACGATGATACCATAGTGGAAGACAGCGATGCAACCAGTTGCAGCAGCTGCTTGCGCGCTGACTTGGAGTACGAGGAACAGCAGCAGCAACTACAACAGCAGCAGCAGCAAGAGCAAGAGCAACAGCAGCAACAGCAACAGCAACAGCAGCAGCAGCAGCTATTGTCAGCAGAAGCAGAAGCATCGCCACCTTCACCTTCAACTCCGCCGTCTCCACCGACAGACATGAATTAATTTAATTTATATTGAAGAAGCAATTGCTGTTGAGTAACTACCGCATCCTGTAAAGCTTTTCGAAAAGGCCGCCCAAAGTCGTAGAAGCTAAATAATACAATAGGCACACGCACCTACACACACATACACCCACACATACACACACACACACGCCCCCACACACACTTATACAACTGCTAGGCATTACCATTGTATGAATCGACTTAAGCAACCGTTTGGACCAACAACGCTGTTTTAGTTTCTATGTTAATATCTGGTCAGATTTTCCTTACGCCCAGGCCGAATCCTCCTTATTCCGCGTACCGTTTAAGTTACATTAACGAAATTTATTATATTTAACAACTATTGTTTTTTTTTATCCATTGCTTTGGTATTTCACTTGCTTAACTGTAATTGTAGTTGTTTATAACATGGAACATTGTAACATACAATACAAAAAAGTAAAACGAGATGAAGATGATGAAGAAGGGTGAACAGAAAAAAACACACACAGAAATTGAATGCATGTTTCATTTGTTTTCTTTTCTTTCCTATTGTCTTCTTTTTTTTTTGTTGTTTACCACTTGCCGTTTTTCCTGATTCTATTTGTTTTCCTCTAATGCTCGCCTCGATGGTTTGTGCACGCTTGTCGAAGTCTTGGCTTAGCATGTGCAGCAACCAATTAGCAGCTTATCACGGACACACTCACACACACGTATACACGTATACACACATACACACATGTACACATAGCACAGGCAACAACCACCACTGCAGCCGAACGAATGAACGAAAAAAAGCAACAAAATGAATACAAGAAACAACGTTTTTTATTATGTTTTCTGCGTTTGTTTAGGATTTTTTGTACTCTTTTTTTTTGTCAAAGCAACTACGCAGCATACTGCAAACAATATTTATAACCGTGCTGCACTCATGGAAGGCATTGAACTATTAGAATGCCTCTCCATTAGCCTATTCTGCACAAGGCGTAGTTGGGTTTGCTTTGAATGCGAGTTTTTTTCGAGTGTATTTTTTATTTTTGCGCAACTCAATTGTTAATTCAATTGAGAAATTTGAAGCAAAATGCAGAAAAAAGAATAAATATCCATCCAAAAAGCAGACAAAAAGAGAAATACAGAGAGTTAAAGAGAGACAGAGAAAAAAAGATAGAGAAACGGAGGGAGAGAGAGAGAGAGATATTTAGAGAAAGAAAGTAAAATATAAAATTGCGAATAAAGCAAATTATTAAATAAACATGAAACATCATGATATTTGTCATCTTGTCGTTAAATAAATGTGTGCAATCTGTATGTTCTTTAAACTAGCAAATAATTCTTTTCGAAGTCAGCAAACATAAAGCAAAGCAAAGCTAAAAAAACAAAACAAAAACAAAAAAGCAAATATATATATTGAACTTAAATTGGTGTAAATTATGCAAAATACAAATAAATGCAAAAAAAATAAATAAAACACGAAAAAAATCGCGGAAAATAGAAACGGAAATACATAAAGTAAACTACTAAAAACAGCTTAAGCTAAAGCAAAGCAAAGAAAAAAAGATACAAAATAAATACATGCATACAAACATACATACGTAATTTCCTACTCACAAAGCAAGAGGATAAACATAATTACCAATACCTATGCAGCACTCACACACACAAGCGAAACAATTGCCGTTACTTTTTGTACACTGCACCACAAATTTGCTATATCTTTACGTTTTAAACTTTTTGCTGCACGTTTTCACACACACACACAAACAACTACTATTTATGGCTAACGGTAAGAAACACACACACACAGACACACACGAGAATAACCAAAACTAGAGAAACAATATACATATGCATGTGCATATACATATATATATATATATATATGCATGTGTGCGTGTGTTTTTCTGGCATGGACTCTACATATACATATTAAAACCCACTCCAACAGACACAAGAGAACTTCTTATAAGTGTTTATATATATACAATACATATAAAAAAAATGAAAAAAGCATAATTTTTTTTGTCATAATGCAAAATACTGGAGTGCTCCAAGAGGCATTAAAAGAAAAATATATTAAAATAAATATATACACATGTATAAATATATATGTATATATATATGTATATATATATGTATATATATATATATGTATATATATATGTATATATATATATATATATATATATATATATATATATATATATATATATATACACATATATATGAATACAATTTTTGATGTGAAACTTCAATGGAAACGGAACAAAAAAAGAAAAAAAAAAAATAAGCAGAAGAAAACAAAGAAAATTGATGTGAATTGAGTGAAAAATATCTAAAGCAAAATGAAAAAATGAAAATAATTTGATTAGAGAATTTGAGGAAATGTTTTGAAGTTTTGAATTTTCGCATTTCTTTTTCCATTAGATTCAATTACAGCTGGACAATTTTTCGATTCTCGATTTTCGTTTCTTTTCTTTCTATGTTCAACAATTCGCAAATTGAAAATTTCTGTTATTTATTATTGTTTCAACTAGAAATAGTTTAGTTTAACACTTAAATTTAATTTCGTAGAAATTCTAAATAATTTACGTATTTATTCTTAGTATTTTTTAGTTCTACGCGCTCTAATTGAAAATTTAGTATTTTTAGTTGGTTTTTGTGCATAAGTTTTTTTATAAGAACTAGAAAATTATTATATGATGAAGGTGCGGAAATGGAGTATTTAAAAGTATATATATATACGACTAAGAAGACAAGTGAAAGAAAAAGAAAAACAAAAAATAAACAAAAACAAAAACCAAATGAGATCTTTAATGTGAAATAAAAGTACTTCTTGAAAAAAATGCTTTTTATTTATTCGGTTTGGTTTTCGGGCACATAGCTTAAGGTGAAGGCTATTTTAGAAAAGCATAATTTTGCAAAATGGCTAAAAATATTTATTGGTTTTTAAAAAATTCCGCTGGACTTTATTGGCCATTGAAAAAATCCTTGTAGGGTGACCATACTCTCCCAAATAAGTGTGTTTATTGATCAATGTCTAACGTTTATATGGTATTATTTGTGATATATTGGGTATATTTAGTACCATTTCTGTTTCTTCTGCCATTAAACATTGCACTTTTTTTTGAATATAAAACAGTTTCCTGCCAATAGATTTTGTGTAATGTGGAAAATTGACCAACAAGTTTCTTATTTATATAACCAGAGACCATTCACTTTAAATATATCTTATCTATCTATTAAAAGCTGTCTGAAATATAATACCAAATAACTGCAGCTGTAGTATTTTTAAAATGAAATTTGGCATATTTAGTAACATTTGGTATTCAAATTAAAGTATTTTTCTAGCCATTGACCAGCAGCTGTTACGCGCACGAGAGAGAATAGTCGAAAACGAAAGCCGTCAAAATGTTGCGTACGTTGTCGCGCGTTAGTGAATTGCCAATAATTGTAAAGCAATTGCAAAAAGTACGTAACTGTAAAGCAGCCGTGGCTGTCACTAACAAAACTATTGTCACTGTCACTAATGCAAAGCAACAACAACACACAAAGCAAACCAACAGAAGCAGCAGCAGTAGCTACAGTACCAACAATAACAGCAACACCAGCAGCAACAACGTTAACAGCAGCAACAACAACAAGAGCAACAACAATGGGATAACACAGCAGCAGCAGCAGCAGCAGCAACAACAACATAAAAATGATCTAAGATTTGACAGCAGACGCAGTTATTCATCGTCATTTTTCGGTTTATTCCAGAATGCAGCACAGGCCGGTGTCGCAAAGACCAACAATTATGCCACGGAAGCGACCGTGCAAGTGAATCGAGTGAGTATTTTAGGGCAGCAACTCCCCGAATTGCCGATTACATAATGTGTGTCTGTGTGTGTGCGTGTGTGCGTCCGCTAGCGTCCGTTAGTGTATGACCTGATTGCGCAGTGTTGCATTTTCGCGTTTCGGTAGTTGCTGGTCGATTAGATGCATTACCGGCCTCAAGGTCACTAACTAACACTGTCTTGCTAGCAGCGCGTGACCGACGTCGGCAGCGACAGTGGCAGCGTCAGGAACACGCACTTTCTTATCAGAATGCGCCTGTTGTTGTTTCACCCCTCAGCGATACCAACACTGCTTGCCAACACTGTGAGCTGATCGACAGGTTATGCAAATAAGGCGTTCCGATTTTTCTCAAAGCAATATATAGTATTAATTATAAGCAAAAAGAGTCATATTTAAATAGGAGACATATAATTAAAATAAAAATAGCATCATTTACACATATAGAATGTTATGAGTATTGTATTAAAAATGTACTAAAAAATACCTGAATGTGCTGAAAAATACTTGTAAACCAAATGCAGCCGTCTCCCTTTCACTCATGTTGATTCATTTGCTCGCTCACTCACATGTATTATTTATATACCTTTCTCTGTCGCTGTCGTGCGGAATAGCCCTTTAAACTGCATCGCCTGGAGGAGGGACCCGAGACCACAGTGAAGCTAACAAAGGATGAAGCGCTCAAATACTACACACAGATGCAGACGATTAGGCGCATCGAGACGGCTGCTGGCAATCTGTACAAGGAGAAGATCATTCGCGGCTTCTGTCATTTGTATTCCGGTCAGGAGGCCTGCGCGGTGGGCATGAAGGCGGCAATGCGCGACGTGGATAACATTATATCGGCGTATCGTGTGCATGGCTGGACATATTTGATGGGCGTTCCGCCACTTGGTGTACTCGGCGAACTGACGGGCGTGCAAAGCGGCTGTGCCCGCGGCAAGGGCGGCTCCATGCACATGTACTGTCCAAATTTCTTTGGCGGCAACGGCATTGTCGGCGCTCAAGTGCCGCTCGGCACTGGTGTCGGTCTTGCCTGCAAGTATAAGGGCAACGGTGGCATGTGCCTGGCTCTCTACGGTGACGGAGCTGCCAATCAGGGCCAGGTCTTCGAGGCCTACAATATGGCCTATCTGTGGAAGCTGCCGGTCATCTTTGTCTGTGAGAACAACAATTATGGTAAGTGAATACTTATTAAGTAGCTTATACTTAACTACGACTAATTTAACTTGTATCCACAGGCATGGGCACCAGCTCCGAGCGCGCCTCCTGCAATACGGATTACTATACGCGCGGTGACGCTCTGCCCGGCATCTGGGTAGATGGCATGGACGTGCTGGCCGTGCGCAGTGCCACAGAGTTTGCCATCAAGTATGTAAACGAGCAAGGGCCACTGGTAATGGAGACGAACACCTATCGGTATTCGGGTCATTCCATGTCCGATCCCGGCACATCGTATCGCACACGTGAGGAAATCCAGGAGGTGCGCCAGAAACGTGATCCCATTACCTCTTTCAAGGAGTTGTGCATTGAGTTGGGTCTCATTACCACCGATGAAGTCAAGGTTAAAGCTGCTCCACTTTGGACATGAAACACCATTCCTAACACTTATCTTTTGTAGGCTATTGATCTGAAGGTGCGTAAGGAAGTGGATGAAGCTACTGCGCAGGCCAAGGGCGGCGCCGAGTTGGGACTCAGCCATTTGTGGACTGATGTCTACTCCAACAACTTGGAACCCAAGCTGCGTGGCACCAATGCCTACGACATCGATCACATTCAAGAGCGAAAGGGTGTCAATCATTAGGAGATGAAATGCAACGATTCTTTAACATGCATACACACCCACACACACACACCCACACACACATGCAAACATGCAAACATGCATACACAAAGCAAGCGAAATCTCTAGATCGTAAGCCCAAAGTTGATGTTAGAAAATTTTGTTTTCCAAGTAGATAAAAACCAATGCGTATACTATACGATTTCATATGACTGCGCATATATTGTGAATGATTTTGTGCGATTGTGAATGAAATATAATATTTCGTATAGCCTTAAACACACACAGACATACAGACATTTTCAAAGACAGGCAAAGACATCGTAGTTAACCCCAAATTGTACGCACCCCGCCCTCTCCCATACACACTCAACCACACAACATGGGCCAGTGGCAACAGCAAAGGATATTAATTATATGAACGTGTTCAATTTGGTTAAAGCGAGGTGTAAATTGTTGAAATATAAACTAACTACATACGATATCAAATGTGTTGAGTTCTGTGAACTACTTACGGCAATGGACTATAGATGGATGCATGATGATGAATGATGCATGATGAATGTGAGAGCAAACATCGAGATGTTATTTGAAAGTTGAATTGTAAACCTAGAACACATTGAAGTATTAATCGGTAAATCCAAAATAGTTTTTGAGTTCCTGATTTATTAGGCATTTTATTTTTGACTTTCTGTTACACTTATTTTCAATGCGGCACTAACTTTAAATTTATTTAAATTCGTAATTCTTAGGTCTTTCGTGGAACAGTTAATTTCTTCAAATTCATACTACACCAGAGAATTTTCGCATCCGTTCATCAAGATAATCAGTTTCTCAACTTTCTCAAATATGATGTCCACAGCTAAGAGGCTTTGCAAGAGCCGTCAACACTTGCTGCAACTCCAACTACACTTTAATTTAACTGGGGATGACATGTGTTTTAGGATCTGGTGGCTTCCGCTACGTTTAAATTCCGGCGGCTCTACGCTGACGCTAGATAACGTAAGTCAAAAGGGTAACAAGTGTTGAGAGGGGAAAAAAGGGGGAGAGAGAGAGAGAGGGAGGGAGAGAGGGAGGGAGAGAGGGAGGGAGAGAGGGAGGGAGAGAGAAAGAGAGCGATAAAGCGATAAAGGTGATAGAGATAGAGATAGAGATAGAGATAGAGATAGAGATAGAGATAGAGATAGAGATAGAGATAGAGATAGAGATAGAGATAGAGATAGAGATAGAGATAGAGATAGAGATAGAGATAGAGATAGAGATAGAGATAGAGATAGAGATAGAGATAGAGATAGAGATAGAGATAGAGATAGAGATAGAGATAGAGATAGAGATAGAGATAGAGATAGAGATAGAGAGATAGAGAGGTAGCGAGGGCGAGGTAAGGGTAAACATAGACATAGATAGAGAGAGATAGATAGATCTGTTGCATAATATATTGAATGACACAGAGAGAGAGAGAGAGAGGGAGAGAGGGAGAGAGGGAGAGAGAGGGAGAGAAGGAGCTTGGTGAACAGTTGGAAATTTAGATAGAGCTTTGTCTCGTTACTGATATGGATTCATTGCATACCTCTGATTAGACTTTCAAGTGCTATGAGCTGGAAAAGGGGCCTCCCATGGACGTGGAACTGTCACGTGAGGATGCTTTAAAAATGTACAAGCAAATGGTGGAGGTGCGTCGTATTGAGGTTGTTTGCAATAATATGTATAAGGCGAAGCAAATTCGGGGCTTTTGCCATCTGTACAATGGTCAGGAGGCGGTGGCCGTTGGCATGTGTGCGGTGCTGAAGAAGAGAGATAGCGTTATAACGGCGTATCGTGCCCATGCCTGGACGTACCTATTGGGCGTGACTGCATACGGCTTAATCGCCGAATTGGTGGGCGTGAAGACCGGATGCAGCCGTGGCAAAGGCGGCTCAATGCACACCTACAGCGATAACTTCTATGGTGGCAATGGTATAGTTGGCGCCCAAGTGCCACTAGGAGCCGGAATCGCGTTAGCGCATCGCTATAAGGGTGACGGCGGCGTGTGCGTCACCCTCTACGGCGACGGAGCTGCCAACCAGGGCCAGGTATTCGAGGCGTACAACATGGCCAAGCTGTGGTGTCTGCCCTGCATATTTGTGTGCGAGAACAATCAGTACGGCATGGGAACTAGCGTTAATCGTCATGCGGCCATCAGCGACTTCTATATGCGCGGCCAGTATATACCCGGGCTTTGGGTCGATGGCAATCAGGTGCTGGCCGTTCGCAGTGCAACACAGTTTGCCGTTGAATATGCAAAGAACTTTGGCCCGATTGTGTTGGAAATGAGCACGTATCGCTATGAGGGACACTCGATGTCCGATCCGGGCACGTCGTACCGATCGCGCGACGAGGTGAAGTCGATACGCCAACAACGAGATCCCATTGAAAGCTTCAAAAAGCAAATTCTCGCACTTTGTCTGGCCGAAGAGGACGAGCTGAAGAAGATCGATGCGAAAGTTCGCAAAGATCTCCAGGCAGTGTCCAAAAAGATATTGGCCGATCGCGAAGTTGGCTTAGAAGAGCTGGCTGCCGATGTCTATTCGAAAAACCTCGAGCCCAAAATACGCGGTGTCTCCGGATTCAATCTGAAGCACCTCAGCATCTCGGAAGTGTGCTTTGGCAAGTCGAAGCGTACGCCTGCGGATGAGATCAACGATGTGCCCGTCGGCGATGCAGCGTTTGCGGCCGCTCAGAAGAAGCTTGCGATGAAGAGCAAGGCCAAGGCGGCAAAAGATGGCCAGGCGGCAAAAGATGGCCAGGCGGCGAAAGATGGCAAGGCGGCGAAAGATGCCAAGCCGCCGATGGATGACAAGAAGACGGACAAGGAGAAGGCCCAAACTGTTAAGCCAGCAGCTAAAAGCGAAGAGAAACCCGCCGTCCCACCAAAATCAGCAGTCCCACCAAAAAGCGGGGACAAACCGAAATCCTAAATAAGCGAAAATTAAAACAAAAAACGCAGCGAAATACGCTGGAAATGGAAAAAAAAAACCTATCGGAATTTCTAAGGACAATAATTATTTCATTCTATTATAATAAATTTGAGCTAAGGGATGCTCCGTGAGCTTTTTAAATTATATAACAATATCATTTAAAGAACAAAAGCTGCTCCGCATGCTTGCAATCTTAACTTCGAGTACGCCGTATTAGATCCTTGAGCCCTGAGCTTTGAGCTTTTACAAAGCACTTGCCTTGTTGGCTGTGTAGTGTGTAGCTCGCCAAGTGCTTTTGCCAAAGCTGCATTTGTGAAAAGCTTTCGGCGTTGAGCTCCTTGCAAGCAACTTCTGTAAGTAGCGACGAGTTGAAGCTTTTCAGCTTTTCAACTTTTTGTGCGACAGCTGCATGAGTTGGACCATTGGGATTCTGGGTATTTCAAAGAGCTTTTAACATACAACTAAAGCTTCTGAGCTTTTAGTGTGCCAAATGTAAACAATCAGCGCAAGAAGGAGCAGAGCTTTGGGCGCTGAGCTTCTTGCAGGCACGTTCTATATGGTTATCTGAAGCTTATGGGTTAACTTTCTAAAAGCTTTCAACACTTCGCACACACCTGTGGAATGACCTTTAAATTTACTCTGGGACATGCTGCGTATGAGTTGTCTCTGAGTATGAGCTGTGAGCTTTGGGCTTCTCGAGGACACCTGTTGTGGCAGCTTTGCTTAAGCAATCCTTGTACGCCTATCCTTGAGAGTTTTAGTTGCGCTTTGTCCTCCCTCTCTCTCTCTCTCCTTTTCCCTTTCCATCTTTCTGCTCTTAATCAGTCTTCACAATTGCCGCAAATCGAGTGCGACGCGTTTCATTCATTTATCAAGCAGTTAAATGGGCAGCGCTGTACCCACGCGCTTGCTGTCTGCTCGACCGCACGCCGCCCCTAAGCAGCACCCACTCAGAGCGCACCCCAACTCGCCCGCACCTGTGTGTGCCGCGCCGGCCAGGGCCTTCGATCTGCTAAGATCGTCTATTCAGTCTCATCGCGATGCTCTGGCGTTGATCTTCACGTGCGCTGCGACGGAATTCGTGCTGCTGTTCGAACATCTCATTTAATAATTTATTTATTTATTTATTTTTTCATTTTCAATTATTTTTCCTTTTTTTTGGTTCTTTTTGGTTTTGATTAAGCCGCGTGCTGCGTGGGCGCTGCAGATTGTGCGATCGCTGAATGTTTTCAATATATGTTTAATAATAAACGAACGTTTCACATTTGATTATCGTTGGCAGCGGTTCATTTGGCCAAACAAATACAAATAAAATAATATTTTAATTGGCCCAACTTGAGCTTGATAAACTACCTTTTATTTGTTTATCAAAAAGTTTTGGGTTAAGCGAAGAACATCAGAAAATGCTCTGCGGAAATGCAAAGGAAACGGATTTTCCTAATGTATTTTTTTTAAATAACTTTTTTGAATACATATTTTTAATGGGTTTTCTTTCAATAAATTAAATAAAATAATTACAAAATAAAATTAAAAACATTGCCCAAGAATTAATTAAAAGAAAACTAAAAAATATATTTCGCGTTTTTATATGTTGCAATGTTTTAAAAAAATTATTAAAGAACATTTATAAAAAAAAAAAAAAACAAAACAAAAAAATATATTACGAAGGAAATTTTATAAAAAATAATTCATAATAATTTTTTTAGATATGTTTTTTTTTTATAAAATTCTTTTAATACTTTTTTTTAAATCTTTGACATATATATAAAAAATTAATATATTTTAAAATTTTATTTAATATTTCAAAAATTTAATTCATATTTATTTTATTTTGTATTAAATATTTTTTGCATTGTTTTTCCTGTTATTTTTGTTAATTTTTCCATGTTGTTAATAATGTCTAAAATATGATTTTTTTTGTATTTTTGCCCGTGTGTTGGAAGTGTGAAACATTCGTCGCGCTTGCCAAAATATGTTGAAAATTTTAGTTTTCTTGTTCTTTTTCTATTTGGTCAAAAGAATATTTTATTTATCAAACGAAAATTTGCGCCGCGTGTGAATAGTTGCATTACAAAATGTGTTAAGCTCCTGCTTAAAAACAGCGTGCCAAAAAAAAAAAATATATATTAAAAGAACTGCGTGAACATTTTGAAACATAAAGAAGAAAAAGAAAACAAAACAAAAATGTATTTATAATTTTTTTTCTTTTTTTTTTTGTCACATATTTTTAGACATAGTTAAAGTTTTGTGTTTGCAATGAATGCGTATATGGCAGAGATATCTATACATTGGACTTTGTGTATTGTGCTATTATTCACTATATGAATACATCTGCAAAGAGATCGTTGTTCAACGAATAATTCAAGGTAATAACATTTGCTATGCATAATTCAAAATTTGATTTTTATTTTTATGTTCGCATGCTGAGCAATTAAAGTTGAAGTCAAGTGCTCAGACGATAGCCAAAGGGTATAAGCAGATAGCCACATGCTCATATATATATATATATAAATTTACGGGTGTATCTATAGAGACATTTATATATACAGGTGTGTGTCTTGCGAGTGACACACTTGAGCGACAGCTAAGAGCAGCATGCTCTACACAAGAATATAGATGTATAAGTTAACTTATAACACTTAGTTAGCTTATAACACTTAATGTAAGGTATTATTCAACACTTATTATCGGGTGCTAGACAAGTTAAGGAACAGCCCTGGCAAGGGCAACTCTACTTACGCCGGTGAGGCTATGATTTGTAAAAATATAGATCAGTCTCGTGTTTTAACTCGTACTGATAGGACATGCTAAAAATTGGTGTCATATAAGTAAAACTAAAAATAGTGAATATAATAAGAAAAACCAATAAAATTAACTGTTTCGATTATTCAAAAAAGAACAATTAAAAGCAGGGTTAAAAAGCGTTCTTCCAGTAAACCGCTTAAATAAATATTCACTCCGTCATTTGCTCGTTAAATGGCTTATTTCATTGTCTGAGCCCGAGGCCAGCAATAAGAGGCACAGTCGCCTCTCAACCTAACTTTCAGTCACCACAGGACTGGAAAACATATAATTGGCGCCCAACTAGTGGGCGGACTCCACAACCAACAACAATTAAGACAGCAGCGCGGGAGCTGCAATTGACAGATCTTATAAAGGGATTTTTTTTTTTTGTTTTGTGTTAGTTGAATCTTGTAAGTGGATACTCTAGCCAAAATTTTTCTTCAAACACAAAAAGTGTTAAAATTTATTTTATAAAAAAATACCTAGGACTAGCGAGTATTTTATATTGCAATTGCATGTAAAAAAAAAAAAAAAAAATTAATGATCAGAACCAAGTGAGAGTGACTACTTTGGGAATTTTAGTGGCAGCAATTGATCATTCAGATCGTCAATAAAATTACATTGTGTTACTTTCTGTGTGTCTGAAGTTGTGCATGCAGTTCTCGTAGTTCAGAGCTGTGACGTAATTCGACCCATCTTCTGACGGTCCGTTTTATTTTTCGCGACCACTGACCTGCGCATGTCTCGGTTCAACCAATAGAGAAACCCTCGCAGGCAGTCTAGCGACTCAGATTCCGACTGTGCAGTTCTCCCACCATCAGGTAGAATGGATGTAGATCAGCTTACGGAAGTAATAAGGACGGCTATCAGCAAAGCTTTAGCCGAACAGGCTGCTGTAAACCAGCAGAGGGAGCATGCATGGACTCAAAAAATTAATGAGTTAGCTGAACAAATAGCAGATGCATCCCCATTAGTTAGAAGTTCTTTTTTGAAAATGCTGAAGACCAGACAAAAGGCCTTTGCAGACCCAGACGAGACGTTGCCGTATAACACATCAGTCGTGGCTACCATTAGGACCATAGATGAGCAACCGATCTATACCAAGCTTTACCCATATCCAATGGGAGCGGCTGATTTCGTTAATAAAGAAATCAAAGATCTACTAAAGAATGATATAATTCAAAAGTCCGTCTCTCCCTACAATAACCCAATATGGGTAGTAGACAAGAAGGGCACTGATGAAGCGGGCAATAGGAAAATGAGGTTGGTAATGGACTTTCGTAAACTTAACGAAAAAAACCGTGCCGGACAAATACCCTATGCCAAATATATCAATGATATTGGGGAATTTGGGGAGAGCCAAATTCTTTTCAACATTAGACCTCAAGTCTGGTTATCACCAGATCATACTCGCTGAACGCGACCGTGAAAAAACCTCTTTCTCTGTGAACGGGGGGAAATACGAGTTCAAAAGACTCCCCTTTGGATTAAAGAATGCAGCAAGCATTTTTCAAAGAACCATCGACGACATACTGCGAGAGCAGATTGGCAAATTTTGCTATGTTGATGTCAATGACGTAATCATCTTTTCAGAAGATGAGGAATCCCACATTAAACACGTGGATCGGGTCCTAAAAAGCTTATACAAAGCAAACATGAGGGTCTCCGTCAAAAAGTCACGTTTTTTTAAGAAAAGCGTGAACTTTCTTGGTTTCGTAGTCACCAGCACTGGCACCACGACGGATCCTGAAAAGGTTAGGGCAATACAGGAGTATCCAGAACCAAAAACGCTGTTCGAGGTTAGATCATTTCTAGGCCTCGCAAGTTATTACAGATGTTTCATTAGGGACTTCGCCGCAATAGCAAGACCCATCTCGAATATCCTAAAGGGTGAAAATGGAACAGTCAGTAAGCATAGGTCCAGAAATATAAAGGTTCAATTCTCTGAAGTGCAGCAGAGGGCATTTCAGAAGTTGCGCGATATTTTGTCATCCGAGAATGTAATGCTCAGGTACCCCGATTTTAAGAAGCCATTCGATCTAACGACCGATGCTTCGGCTCACGGCATAGGTGCAGTTTTGTCTCAAGAGGGTCGTCCTATAACAATGATTTCAAGAACATTGAAGGACAGTGAGGTTAACTATGCAACCAATGAGAGAGAGTTATTGGCCATTGTATGGTCACTTGCCAAATTAAGGCACTATTTGTATGGGGTGAAAGACATTAATATCTTCACTGACCATCAACCCTTGACCTTCGCAGTTTCGGAATCTAATCCAAATGCGAAAATCAAAAGGTGGAAAGCGCGCATTGACGAGTCTAATGCACGTATCTTCTATAAACCTGGCAAGGACAATCTGGTTGCGGATGCCTTGTCAAGACAGCAGCTCAACGCTATAAATGAGCAAGAAATTGAGTCCTGCGCAGCAACGATCCACAGTGAGGTATCTCTCACCAACACCATTGAGACGACAGACAAACCCTTGAACTGTTTTCAAAACCAGATAGTGCTAGAAGAGGCGCGTTTCCCCTTAAAACGAAGTTTTATTCTTTTTGGAAATAAGAAACGCTACTTGATCAGCTATACATGCGTCGAATCGCTGCTAGACGAGCTCGAAGATGTAGTCTCACCCAAATGCGTAAATGCTCTCCACTGTAATTTACACACGCTTGCAATGATACAAGATGCATTGGTGCGAAGATACCCAGCCACAAAGTTCTGGCATTGCAAAAATCGCGTAGTGGACATATTTGCGGTTGGAGAAGGAAGGGAAATCCTCACAGTCGAGCATAATAGGGCCCATAGGTCTGCACAGGAAAATGTTAAGCAGGTACTCTCGGAGTACTACTTTCCACGGATGGCAAAAATTGCCAAGGAAATGGTACAAAACTGCAAAACATGTGCTAGGGCTAAGTATGATAGACACCCCAAAAAACAAGAGCCACAAGAAAAGATAGAAGAAAAGATCAGAAACGCTCAGACGACGCTCAGAGCTAGGGAGAACGCAAAGCGGCAGAATAGAGTCTTCGATGTTGGTGACAAGGATTTGGTCAAGTCCAACCGACGGCTCGGAAACAAACTCACACCTTTATGTGTCGAGAAGGCCGTGGAAGCAGACCTGGGGACCGAGGTCCTCATTAAAGGAAGGGTGGTCCACAAGGACAACCTAAGATGACTCCCTTGTTTTTTTATTACACCTTTTATTATAAGCCGCTAGGCAATTTAGAATAAGTTAGATATAGTTTTTCAATTTACCTTTAGCCACTTGGCATAATTTTTATAAAACAATTTGGTGGCGGGTACACCCGATGCCGGTGATTTAGAGCAGACTAGGTCCACTGAAATGCGACTAATGAATGCCAACAGTAGACGGATAGAAGTAAACACTGAGGTTCAAGACCAACTTAACCAGTTAACATTTGCTGTCAGTGGAGTTCTCGGGATAGCCAAAACTCACAAATTGATTTTATTGATTTATTTATTTGAAACACTGAAACACTGTCCAGAAACAGAATGCGGACGATGGAGTTGCAAAGTTTAATGCTTGCTATTACTCTCGCGAAGGCTCATTGTTAGCCCAAACATTTTGGACTCCTCAGATTTAAAATCAATTTGGCTAGAGGAATCCATCAACACTATACATTTTATAACCAAATTCCCAAAAATTAAAAAAGCCTGCAGAAAAATTACGATTTATCCTGTCGTCCACAAGAACCAGCAACAGCTCTATTCGCCCCATAGTTGGATGCTAAGCCAGAACCACAGCATGCAAATCTACAAGCGGAATCGTTGAGGAAACCCCCTTGTTCACGGCACCACCACCAACAGTAGAAGCTCATCAGCCAGCAACAACTAACGAACTCTTCGCGGCGGCAGAGCCAAGCGACTCTTCATCCATACTAGAACCAAGTCAAGAAATCCCCAAAACACCGCCAACTGCATTAATTCAAGAAGTTTCACAGCCACAGGTTGCTCCAACCGCTGCCCATCTCTGTCGACACCTGCCACGGCTGCCTGCTCATCCTCATCCTCATCGGCAGCGGCGTCACGTCAACTGCAGCTGCCGGCATTGTCGGCAGTTGCCGCACGGCAACAGCAGCTACTGCTGAACGGCTCTCTGAAGAGCAAGACGAAGACATTTCCTGCGTATCGAGCATCGGTGCGCAGCGAGAGCGACGACAAGGAGTACAGGGCGGCTAGCAGCAGCAGCAACACGATACCGACGACGGGCAAAAGTCGGCCAAGATCAGCGGCAAGAACTGTAACAATCTGCTGCACAACGCCGGCAATAAGCTAAGCGTGAGCAGCAACTCCTTCGGCCTATACGCAGCATCTGGCATCATCGCCCAAGAGCCCTGTCTCCAGCAACGGCCATCTGAACAAATACTGCCTGACGGACTTGACGCGCCGCAAGGCCGAATTCAATCGCCAGCTGAGCGCGCCGACAGACTACACACATCACTCGTCCAGTAACGGCTCATAGCATCGCTGGAGTGGTGGGACACAGTCATCACGGCCATCACGGGCACGTGCACGGCCAGTCATCGACGGCGCCAGCCACACTCAAGTCGCTGCAGCTGC